TATGAAGGACTGATTCGCCCCGGTATCGATTAGAAATTTTAACGGGGGGTTAGAAATACATATATATGGAAGCTGTCTCTGCGTATGTAAGTTAACTTCTATTTTGGCTTTTTTGAAGAACGAGCCTTTTGAAAATCCTGAGTTGTACTGCTTGTCTTCTACAAGGTTGACGACAGTCTACGTTATCGTGTTCATCTCTCTCAGTCGCGTCTTGGTAATCGTAATGCTGTGTGTCGTCATAGTCATAGGTCACAGTATTGGTATAGTCATAATTATCATCATAGTTGTAATAGTCGTATTGGTATTCGGGATAATAGTAACTATTGTAATCCGCACATTCGTTAAAATTCATTTCCCTACTTTTGAAATAATTTGAAGGCGGTGGGTTACCGTATCTACGCCAATCGTGACCAGTCAGACCTGTTGGAGGCATTGGTTTAGGTACGTAATGGCTAACACCACTCCATAGGCTTCGGACCTGAGTCATGGGGTTGATTCCTATTTGGTAATCTAAACATATTACTATGGGGTGTGTAATTAGGTGGCAAAGCACGGAACATTTGTTGAGTTCGCGTAGGCATGTTAAACTGTGGTGGCACGTTAGGCCTAAAGGCATGTTGCTGTGGTACATGTTGAGGTCGCTGTAAATTGGGCATTGGCATCGGTGCAGGAAAACTGAATGGTTTTTGCAAAGGTAAGGTCATATGACTAGGTAGGAGAGGCTTAGTTGCTTGAGGTTTCCTCTCAGCGAAAGATTCACCGCGTTGTTGTAGGTACATGACATTCAGTTCTTCCTGTAAAAACTCCAAGGCTTTTTCAACTGTATCAGGACGCATGCAACGTATTCGTGAGCCAAGTGGCTCCTTTAAACCGCGTACGAAAGCTTACTTTGTTAAATTTTCATACAGTACACGTTTGGCTTCTATTGTAGTAGGCAAGGTTTTATGAAGCGTAACATACGTCATGATAGTGCTGAATAATGTCTGACATCGTGCATAAAATTCTTGGGGTGAGCTGTTTCCCTGAGTAGCTAACGAGAGGTCATTGTAGAGCGCCGTTTCGTCTCGTTGGTCAGAAAGGTTATTGATTAAGGCTGTGCGTATGCCATGCCAGCTTTCAGGAATACCAGTTGAATTTAAAGTGGTCGCGGCGGGTCCAGTTATCTCATTTAATATCCCGTTAAGCAGACATAAGTTTGATAGTTCACTGCCAGGCTCATTACTTAGGTATGCCGCACATATTTGGTCACATAAATTTATAAATCTAGTCAGTACATTAGGGTTACCGTCGAACTCTGGCACTGGGCGTAAGACTTTGAAAATAGTGTCAGGGTCGTGGGCCATTTTTAGTTCCTCGGTAATTATATCTAACTCTAAATAACAACCTAAATCTCTATTATAGTCTAAACTTTGTCTACGTGGCTGCCTACGCGATGTAGGTTCGAAGTGGGATGATTTCCTTGGATGGAAAATTTTGACGGGAAAGATTTACACTAAGAAAGAGGAAGCAACACTAGATAAAATTCTGGTGTACTTACATAGATTTCATCTCGGTTTTCTCGGGATCGATGTCTTGATGTATCCTCTTGGCTTGCAGTAGGTCCGTAGTTGATTCGGATACTCGGTTAAAGCTTGAAAGCTACGATAGTCTAACTAACTTTTGAGTATCCTACCGACTGCGCCAATTACATTAACTGCAGCCGAAGGACCCAAAAAAAAACTAATATAAAATACTCTATTATAATATAAAAATTACAATATACTTATTACAACTAAAAAAAAAGTGAATCAGATCGATGCTAGATCTAGAATGATTTTTAATTATTACATTAAAATAAGGTAAAGTAATATTGCAGAGCTCCGATTGCATCCGTTGACGTCAATGGTCACGTTCTGCTGAGTTGCGCCTCGTACCGCTGCAATGTATCGGGGTCGCTGCTGTGTAGGCTCTTTACCTATGAGGCTATGCTATAACTCGCTTTTTATATTCAATCGATACCATACAAACCAAAATAAAAACGCTTTGCCATGCTATCGGTTTGCTGTTTATTTGACTCAAGCTAAATAGTTACAATAGTTAAATTAATTTGTAGTGAAAATAAGTTAAATGAAATTCAAGTAATGATAATAATGATATTTTAATGAAAGCATTTAAATAAAATTATAAGAGTTGAAAATGAGGTATTAAAATATAAAGCAAACACTTTAGTTTGTAACAAATTCTTTAAACTTAGGTTAGTTATAGGTTCTAATATTACAAACTTATTTTATTTTTGCTATACTTTGCAATCCCACCAATTTATCTCAGTAACTGTGCCCGTCGAAAACATTTAGATCCTCAAATGATTTAGTCCATATTCTTAAATAGTCATTGATTTCATTATAAATAATATCATTAGTTTTAGTTGAAAATACTTACGTGTTCATTCCTTCACCATGCAACTTCTTTAAAATTGTCCTTACTTTTGGTGGACAAAAATTGTTTCTTATTCTTTCCTCAGTAATGAAATAATTTTGATCAAAATTTTCCTGATTTTAAAAACACTGCTTTATTGTCTTTCCACTCTTTCAATGTTTGTGTGAATTATTGCCATTACTGAAAGAAGAGTACTGTACTGTAGAAGGTACATGTAACTCTCGGCATACTCATTGTTAAAAAAGCATAATGTACTGTGAAGATTTATTTAAACTAAAAAAATATTATTTTTATAGCTCAAGGTATTTCAAAAGTTTTTCAATTGTTGGAAAAAGGCCTACGAGAGCGGCACTGAAAATTTCGGGAATCAAGGAAGCGACACAACATTACTATGTAAAAATGTATTTATGGCCGTTATCCAAAATGGCCGTTTTGTAGGCGTCCACAGCTTCTTCAGGCGATGAAAATCTCTGTCCACGCAATTTAATATTTATTTTAGGGAAAGTATAGAAATCATTAGGTCTTAGGTCGGGGCTGTACGGCGGATGGTCTTATAATTCTATGTTTTCTTGTTCTAAAAACTCTTTGGTTCTGTGTGCGGTGTGAGAACTCGCATTGTCGTGATGGAGGATGATGCGGCGGTTGCAGTTCTCTTTAAGGAGTTCAAAAACGACCTGTGGCAAACAAATGCTAGCATACCATTCTGCATTAACCGTTCTTTGTCCCTAAAGAGGAATAGTAGTAACATGGCCGGTTTTTGGAGACAAACGTGGCCACCATTTTTTTGCAACACTCCGTGAACGAACAATTTTTGTTAGCTTTAACTCATTTTCGAACACCCAAACTCGTGACTGGTTTTTTGTTTCGGGTTCGTACGCGTGTATCCTGGATTTGTCACCTGATAAGATGTTGTATACAGCATTTGAGGATCCTGCAATCTTTCGAGAGTTCTGACGCACCAAGTAACGCAAGCCGCTTTTTGCTCTTCACAGAGCGAATGCGGTATCCATCGGGAAAACAACTTTTTTACACCTAATTGTTCATGCAAGATTATTTGTATTTGACTCATGCCAATGTCTAAAGTTGCCTGAATTTCGCGGTATGTCACATGTCGATCTTTCTCAATCAGCTTACGCACAGCATAAACTTTTACTTGGGTTACTGCAGTTTTTGGACTACCTTGGCGGGGATCATCACTGAGCTTGACACGTCCACGTTGCAATTCAGCAAACCAGCGATAAATTGTGATTTTGGATGCGGCTTCATCACCAAATGCAAAAATCATCCGGTCAACACACTGTTTTTGTGTTAAACCACTTCGAAAGTCATAATAAATCATCGCTCTTGAATTTTCTCGAGTCAATTCCATTTTCTCAACGACTAAACAAGTTTGACAAAACCTTGTGACAAGGCCGAGAATCTTTTTTTAAATAAATAAATGGTATTCGATTTTTAAAACCAAGGAGTTTACAATTAAAAAGATTTTAATATGGCAGGAACAGTGGAAATATTCCATTCCCGATACTTTTAGTGCAGCCTAGTAAACAGTGTCTTGGAGTGAGAATGAAGTTGAGTATACTGCATATCAATATCGTTGCAAAACTGTCGCAGTTTTTCCGTTCGAACAGTGTAAATAAAAATATACAATTATTTATTACACTTCTATGGGCAGAATATCACATCCGTGGTGAACAACATTTTTGAGTAAATGAACAGGACAACCAATATATATAATATTTTTGCCTAATTTTTTTGCTTCAATTTAAAAAAATTGTTTGTTACAGTTTTTTCTCTACCTCCAAAGTTCGTATTGCAGTTATCTCCTGAGAATGCTATACATTTTTCTGTTATTTTATATTTTTAGTGCTAATTATTTACTAAACTTATTGAAGTTTCAGCAGTTTCATCGGGAATTGTTTCAATGTCTAATATCTTGAAGTTTATGTCTTCACCACGATAATCGAAATACCATATCCAAATCCCTTTGACATACAAAAAAAATCACATTATTCTTTATTCATTCATGGACAGACACGACATTAAGATTAAAATATTTAATAGCATTTTAAATATTAAATTATTTACCCCTACGTGAAAATAAATCTTTAATGACTTTATAATGGAAGACCAATATTTATGATCCGATCCATGTTAATCTAACATCTTTTACACTAAACCACGCAGTCACACAAGCCCTCGTGTGAATATGCTCTATTGAAGTATTTCTGTCGGTGAACTATTAGTTTGTGTCAAAGATAAATGGCATCCATTATTATTATTTATTTTACATTATTTATATAATAAATATTCGAAGGGTCAATGTTAAGAGGGCGCCACCAGAAATATTTATTTTAAATTCCAGAGTTTTAAAGCGCTTTGTAATAGGGTAGACTGGGCACGGTTGTGACAGTGGTCATACAGAGATAGTCATATGCCTGAGAAAGAAGCAGTAAGGTAAGGTTAAGGTTAAGAGAAAGAGAGACGGTTGAAGGCAGCTTAGCCAAGGTAAAAAAAATCTTGCTGAGCTAAAAGAACCTGAACCATAAAAGACACTTTTCTGTCAATTAAGTAGCATACTAACCAAATTATTGGCGATCATTGAATTGAAATATATCAGTCGGTTTAGTAAAGTGAGCAAAAAATTCTTCTACTACTTCAGTATTTGCATTATATTCCGATATATTTGTCTCTAAGTTTCGTTTCTTCCACTTACGTTTGGTTGGTTCTACTACTTTCGGTCTGGTAGCTCTAGGCATGGACGTATTTGTTGAAGGAAGAGCAATTTGGGGACTGGGGATAGGGATTAGAGATGCATATACCTGATTAACGGAACAACCTGATGACACTTCTTCATTTGTCGGCGATGGAGGAATTTCAGCTAAGACCCTCTCAATAGCCTCCTCAAAATAGTCGTCGAAGCCTCTCGATAAGGGTACTTGAAAATCTTTTTCGACTTCTTCATGGGAAACGCCTACATCAGAATCTTCGCTACAATCTGGAAGATCCTCTAACAACAGAGCTTCAATGAGGGCAGTTTTTTTAGAAATATCCATTACCGTACATCTATAACAAAAATGGAACCATAATAAGAAAATAATTATTGATATATAACGAAACAAAGTACCCTTTCATCGTGTATATAGCCGCTTATTTAGCCGACCGACTGAATTATCACTTTACTTTTGTTGTACGAAGGGAGTGGTTGTGTTGGTCACGATGGATATTTTTGAAGTAATTGGTATCTTAGAAGCGCTGAAAGAGGATAAAAGGAAGCACTGGGTTCACCAATTATACAAGAAAAGGTTGAGCATTGGACAATTTCACACTCTTTTCACCCAGAACTAAGGAAACATCCAGAAAAATTTTACGACTATTTCAATATGACTTCTCATACATTTGATGAATTGTTGAAATCTATAACCCAGTACATAGCTAAAAATAATATCACAAGAGATACATTATGTCCCGAAGAACGGCTTACTATAACTTTGAGGTAAGTAAATAATTAACGCTTTAGGATTTAAAAAAAAATATGTTATTTTTATTTTAATACAAAGTCACTTTCGCATTTATAGTTTTTAATTTGACAATCACTTTTCAAAAGTACTGTATTATTAAATTGAATTAGGAACAACTATGGTAACATTAAGTTGGTAACCAGTCATTCCTCATCTTCAATGTGGTTTGAATCGCCTCGCAATATTGCTTCTATGTTTTCTACTTCCGCTGAAGAACCTGTAGAGCTATGTGATGGACTGTTTCGAGGGTAGCACATTTGGTGTACTGCTGCTTCCACTCGCATAGCCATACTGATGTGGGTACTGGTAGGCATTTGTCCATCCAGTTTGCATCATATCACCGTCATAATTATTATGTACACTATATTTTATATTTTTAATAATTTTCATCACTTCGAACCGAAATTCAAAATTCTGTGTTGGGGACATTGTCTTCATTTCCGGTAAAATATTTAGTAGAAAGTTCATATCTGGATCGTTTTCTCTTTTTTTCCATCGAGTTAATTAGTGCTTCTTGAAACACAGTCATCTTTTTTGGTCTACTGGCATTAACTACCGAGTCAGTAGAATCATTTTCATCTAAAATAGCGCTACTGTCGCTAGACGTCTCGGCGCTAATATTGTTGCTAGCTCTAGAAACATTTAAAAAGTGTAACATGTCCAAGTATGGTGCCTTGCGTTTTTTTGTTGCCCCACTTCCGCTTTTGACTGAGGAATCCTTATTTTTTTCTCTGATGTGATAGTCGCGCAAACCCGTCCATTTTTTTTGTAGGTCTTTTACTGAAACAGAAATAATCGGTAGTTCAATATTCTTTCCAGATTCCTGTCAAGTGGACTAAGTTACAGAAAAATTGCACAAGAGTTTTTTGTTGGAAAATCGACGGTATCGAAAATAATAAGTGAAACTGCATGCATTATATGGGATATTTTACAGCCACAGGAAATGCCGGAACCTTCTGAAGAATTGTGGCTAGAAATAGCAAAACGATATTATAAAAAACCAACTATCCTAATTGTATAGGATCTATCGATGGCAAGCATATCCGTAATAGAAAACCACCAAAAAGTGGATCTATTTTAATTATAAGAAGTTCTTCTCAATTGTTCTGTTAGCCGTAGCAGATGCAAACTGTTCTTTTATAGCTATTGATGTAGGTGCTTGCGGACGAAATGCTGACAGTAATATATTTAAAGAAAGTGGTTTTGGCAAAAAATTGGCGTGTGGGTCTCTGAAGATTCCTAAATCAACTAAATAGCCTAATTCAAATGGATTGCCCCAACCTTTCGTGTTTCTGGGAGATGAGGCATTTGGATTACAAAAGCATATCTTGAGGCCTTTTCCTAATAAAAGTTTAAATAAGGAAGAGCGAATTTACAATTATTGTCATAGTCGAGCTAGGAGATGTGTGGAATGTGCATTCGGCATCCTAACAAGCAAATGGAGAGTTCTGCATACACCGATCGCTACTAATGTGAATACAACCATCGCTATCGTAAAAGCTGTTTGTATTTTACATAATTTTGTCATAGCAAGAGAACAAGCACAATATGCACATATTTCGCGACGTACCTCAATAACTCTTACAAGTTCAAGGAGCCAAATTATTACCGTATCAAATTCTGGAAAAATAACAAGAGAAAATTTTAAAAACTATTTTCTTAACGAAGGAAAGCTACCCTGGCAAGAGAAATATTTGTAAGTTGTAGCTACAGGAAGAAATAGTGTAACGGAGTGTGTAAAGCCGTAAATACTATGTAAATTATGATACTTTGTTTTATGTAGTGAGTGATACAAGAATATTGTTGAATAAATAATAAATTCATTAGAATGGAACTTACTTCTTTTTTGTTTAGTGTTTTCTTCTAAGTTTTGCCAATCATATTATATAATATCAGCGACTTCATTCCAATTGCTCTGCTTTAATACTCTGTTGCTGTATTCTTCACTCGACATGTTCCATATGCATGGTCTATTCTGTATTTCACTAATGAACCTTTCCGTATCAAAGGACATCTTGGGTTTTCAGTGATGTGTGTGTGCGTTGAGATTAGTTAGGTGCGATGCAAAAAAACACGTCCTAACACGATGATAGCTTTTTTCCAACTATCCGAATAATCAGTTTGCGGCAAACTGAGTCACTACGCCCGGCGAACAACCAATCGCCGCCGCCGACTGGAACCGGTTTTGGTGAGAGTCGGCCGCTCACTAAGATAGTCGGCGCGCGTAACGCTGCAAATTGCGTACCGTGAGCGCAAAACTAGCAAACTGTGAACACTCCATTTGAAATATATGGAAGGGCGTAATAAACCGATACGCCGCTAACTCAGTCGGCGGCTAACAGTTTGCCTACTGGGGACGCAGCCTAAATAACGCATGGCCAACAATAAACTTTAAATTAAAAACATTATCAGAAAAGGACAGGGGACAAATATTTAATAGATTAAGAGATGAAATGAATAAACATGGTTGGTATGTAGATGAAAGATTATAAATAAAAAATAAATCAATCGCAATGCAGTTTTATTTAATCCATATATGTACGCGACACAAATAATCTAGTTTTACACAAATGACAATAAAAATTAGACTTAAAACTATTTGGAAAATCATCTGGGAATAAATAATCTACAATCTTCATAATTTTAAAATTAACTCATGTTTGTTTGACACACTTCTCGCACATGGGCACAATCGGGTACATGTATTGTGGATAATAAACTGTTAGGTCAATTTTTAAAATTCCTCGATTGCTGGATAAATAATCATAAGGATCAGAAAAGGCCCAAAGTTCTTCTTCGGAAATAAAATTACACTTGTTAGTACGGGTTTTAGAGCGAGTCCGGGATGACACCGAGGACGCACTGCTAGATACGCTCGAACGACGAGAAAAACGAATGCGTAAAGTAGGTGCCATGTTAAACGCAATAGAACAACCAAACAACTATAAAATAAGATTTAGATATAATGCTTTTATACAGGGTGGGCCATGAATTAGTTAACATTTGAAAAAATCGTATAAAAAAACCATTTAACATATTTTAGAAATCGTTTATTTACGAGAAAGCTAATTAGTTGTAATTTATTTTTTAAAAATTATTTCGTCTAAATGACCACCGTTTCGGTTTTTGCACTCATCTAAGCGAGTCCTGAAGTTTTCGAATACTCTTCTGCAAAGAGACCGCGAGATCGCCGACATCTCTTCGATGATTTTTTCTTTAAGTTGACGCAGTGTATTCGGTTTATCAATGTAGACACGACTCTTTAAATAACCCCATAAAAAGAAGTCTGCTGGGGATAGATCTGGACTTCTGGGTGGCCATGGGATGTCACCCCGTCTGGATATCAGCTTTTCCAGAAACATGTCTTTGACCACCGGCAAGGACTCGTTCGATGTGTGACACGTGGCTCCATCTTGTTGAAACCACGTGTTACGATTATAGCCAGCAAATTCCAGTAGCATCGGTGCTAAGAACTCCCGTAACATTTTCACATACTCCGCAGAATTAACAGTAACTGAACGGCCTCGAGAATCTTCAAAAAAGTAAGGTCCGATGATTCCTTTTGCTGTAATTGCAGCCCATACAGTTACCTTAGGAGAGTGAAGTGGCCTCTCATGTTTAGCTTTAGGATTTTCGCTGCTCCAATACCTGCAATTCTGTTTGTTTACATGTCCATTTAGGTGGAAATGGGCTTCGTCAGAAAATAAGATGTTGTGAAAATTACTGAAACGAGTTAACATTGTTTCGGCATATGACTTACGCAAATTTAAATCATTAGGGTTTAGTTCTTGCACTAGCTGGATCTTATATGGATGTAATTTCAAATCTAATTTCAAAATACGGCGTAATGATGTGCGGGATAATCCTAATTCAGCCGAACGTTTGCGTGTCGATAAATCTGGATCACGTCGAACAGAAGCGGAACCTAGCTGCACGTTCTCTTCGCTCCGAGAAGTCCGTGGGCCGCCGGTTTGTTTCACATTTAGTGTAGATCCCGTCTCTTCGAACTTCTTCACCCATTTCTTTATTAAAGGAGCACTTGGACACTGACTTAAGTCGTGTAAACCATATTCAACGCGAAATAAGCGTCTCACAGTAATGAGCGAAAAGTCGTTTAAATAAAACTGTTTCACGCAGTAAGCGCGTTGCGGCCCCGTGAAGCGATCCATTGCGACTAAATTTCCAAGAAGCGAGCTAGTGCCCCCGCCCGCGCCCGCGGCCCGCGCGGCAATAGTTTGCGCGGTAAGTTACATTTAAATGTTAACGAATTCTTGGCCCACCCTGTATAAAATGCAACAAATGCAGTCTCGAAAAATACTCAACATGAAGTAATACACTAATATAATAAACATCAGGAAACATTAAAATTAATGGGCAATAAAAACGTCTGGAGGTCAGTATTTGCTATACTTACACGCTATTCCATATTCTTACACTCTATTCCATATTCTTACACGCTATTCTATATTTCATATGCTAACCACTGTGCTACTCTGTCGACTGTCGTATCTGGAGCAAATGTGGCTACTTCTACAAATTCAAGATCCGCTTATTGAATATCTTGTTTGAATTTTTTCTTATTTTTTGTATTTTTTTTGTAATATTCCGTAATCATGTGGTATTTTTCGTCGTGTTTTTTTGCTGCTGCGTCCAATGCGTTCACTGGTACTCCTTTCCGATTTAATGGATTTCCGGGTCCCAGGTACTTGTATCCGGGAAATATTACTCCACTTCCACTCGGACCCTGTTGATCTGATGGCTGCTGATCCTGCGCGCTGGGGTGACTCCCAAGTGCCCGGAGATCCAGTGGTATCGTGTGTGGTGTTATTGTCGTATCCAGTTTTATGTACGACAGCTAGTGTACGCACATCTGGGGCCATGACGTATGTTCTGTTCTTCGGCCACAGACGTGTTGGGTGGTCGACACTTACTGGGTTGCTAGGGCTGGCATTTCCGTTGCCAAGGGGCGAGGTGGTGCGCCCTTTGTGTCCGCTTTCAAGATAGCCGGGGCGTCGGGCGGTGTCTTTGTCGCTTCGGGCGCCCTTGGAGCTGGCTCCGCTGGTTGGGCCTGGATTGGGCCGGGCGAGTGCCTGACTGCCTTCATGGATGTGCTAAGTACGTTAGACACAAAACCGTTGGAGACTGGTTCGGGTGCCCAGGAATTCAAGGTTTGTATTTTTTGTGTGGAGGCAGTCCTTTTCTATTACTTCTGACTGTTCCGCATGCGTAGGTATTCTCAGTTTTCAACTTTTCAAGTAAAGCAACAGATGTAAAAAAATTATCAAAATAGACAATTTTCCCTTTACCCCATTCTTGTTCTAACAATTCTAAAACTACTCTTTCTCCCAATCTATATTTTGAAAATTTGGCGCTCATTTATTACATCTTTCCCTCGATAAATTTGAATTTTTTTATATAGCGCCTCTGGTCTGCAAGACACCACAACTTATATCCTCTCTTGATTGGGTTCATGGGTAGATACTGTTTTAGTACAGACCTACCCTTGAATTTGATCATCGATTCGTCCACGCTCATTTCACGGGTCCCATGATAGCACTCTTGAATTTTTTTTATTGAGAGCAACAACAATAGTTCTTATTTTATACAATTTATCTTTGCAGTTTTTAGGCATTTGAGCATTATCGTTGCAGTGTAGGTGTGATAAAATCATAGCAAATTTGTCTCTTGGCATGGTGTTGCATATAAGTGGATTGTTAAGATCAGATGCCGATGAGTAATGGTCTGTCCAAGCCGGTCGAGTATTGTAGCCCATACAGAAATTCATACCAATAAATGCTAAAAGTTCCTCATTTTTTAGATTCAATACCTTGCCTTTCTGCGTAGCGTAGTGGTTACTTTGGTATACAATCCCATCTAATATATCGTCAATCAATACACGAAATTATTAATTTATTACAAAAATAGGTCGAAATTGTAGTTACAAAAATATTATCAATAGTACAATTTTTCAGTTCGATTTATAAGCAATAAATTTAATATCTTTTTTTTTTAAAAAAATGAACATATTACGAGAAAGTCAAATTATATCTAGTAGTTAATAGCATCAATACAGACCATATCCAAATCCCCTTGACATACAAAAAAAAATCACATTATTCTTTATTCATCCATGGACAGATACGACATTAAGATTAAAATATTTAACAGCATTTTAAATATTAAATTATTTACCCCTACGTGAAAATAAATCTTTAATGACTTTATAATGGAAGACCAATATTTATGATCTGATCATTTTTACTTAACTAAACCACATCACACAAGCCCTAAAAAGATCATTATTATTATTTATTTTAAATATATAACAAACAAAAAAAAAAAAAGAGAAAAAACTAAGCAACTAGCCAAGGTAAAAAAAATCTTGCTGAGCTAAAAGAACCTTAACCATAAAAGACACTTTTCTGTCAATTAAGTAGCATACTAACCAAATTATTGGCGATCCGTTGAATTGAAATATATCAGTCGGTTTAGTAAAGTGAGCAAAAAATTCTTCTACTTCTTCAGTATTTGCATTATATTCTGATATATTTGTCTCTAAGTTTCGTTTCTTCCACTTATGGTTTGGTTCTACTACTTTCGGTCTGGTAGCTCTAGGCACGGACGTATTTGTTGAAGGAAGAGCAATTTGGGGACTGGGGTTAGGGATTGGAGATGCATATACCTGATCAACGGAACAACCTGATGGCACTTCTTCATTTGTCGGCGATGGAGGAATTTCAGCTAAGACCCTCTCAATAGTCACCTCAAAATAGTCGTCGAAGCCTCTCGATAAGGGTACTTGAAGATCTTTTTCGACTTCTTCATCGGAAACATCTATATCAGAATCTTCGCTACAATCTGGAAGATCCTCTAACAACAGAGCTTCAATGAGGGCAGTTTTTTTAGAAATATCCATTACCGTACATCTATAACAAAAATGGAACAATAATAAGAAAATAATTATTGATATATAACGAAACAAAGTACCCATTCATCGTGTATAATTATCATAAAATTCAGTAAATTATAAGACCAAAAGTTTCTGACGGTACTTTTTAGTTCTCGTCGGTTTTTATAAAACATAAACATGAAATAAGGTAAAAATACATCATGCAAGTATTTATAAATCTACTTGATAATACATATAAACTTACTATATAATCGAAAGTGTTTGAACTTACCTATGATACTATATTTTTAAAACTATAACAAATACACCGCAAGGCGAACTCACTGAGTGCAAGACAAGTTGTTACTTGCAGATCAAATTGATTGGTCGGTTCTAGCGACAGACCAAATTCTGTGCTCTTATTGGCTCACGTCAATCGTACTCTGAAGTATCGCCAGTGAGTTTAAGCACGAAGTGTTTGCGTATTCAATGTATTAGACGAAAAAGGAGCCGGTACTTAATAGTACCGTAAGGAAGGAATAGGTTAAATTTTAAAACTATGAATTTTAGTTAATTTAACCCCTATTTCTATACACTGCTTTAAATTTCTGTAATGAATTACATATTTATCTTTATTATTTAAATTTGGGACTAGTTTATTCTCATTAATATTGCCTACACAAATGTTTTGTGGACATAAAGAAAAGTCCGAATGTAAATCGTGAAGTTCATCTGGATATTCCAAATCAACTTCTAAAATAAAACCGAAGTCTGATGTCTGACACATTAAATTCTGTATTCGGATTTACCCATTCGAATCCACCAGTAGAAAGATATTGAGACATAGCCCAACCATATAAATTGTTGGCATCAAAATATGTGATATATGAATTTGGTTTCCCTGCATCATAATCCCCCATGTATTTGTTATTAGCTCTAGCATAACGATTACTACATTGAGATACACCACCCCTGATACCTGATCTAATAAATGCAATTTTCTCATAATCTGTTAAAAGTTCTAATTCTATTTTTGTATATTTTAACATTGCATCCCAACTTAAACCGGGTGCTGTGTAATAATGGACAGGGTCTAAACCATAAGTATTAATACAAACTTTCTAAAGTTTTCAAATACATCGGATAAAAGTAAAACTTCTGTTTTAAATACAGGTTTGAATAATCTCATAGATTTGAGCAGTTCATCGTCGACTACTACACGGTAGAGAGTCGCTCCACGATCGAACAAACGCCTCGACATAACGGGCTATCAATGCGCTAATATAATGTATCTGTATGAAACGGATCAACAGCTAAGAGACAACTTCAAGATAAAAACACCGTCATATATAAAAGTGGAAAAACAACCCAAAGATCATACAATAAGACTAAAAACAACATTAAATAACGCATGGCCAACAATAAACTTTAAATTAAAAACATTATCAGAAAAGGACAGGGGACAAATATTTAATAGATTAAGAGATGAAATGAATAAACATGGTTGGTATGTAGATGAAAGATTATAAATAAAAAATAAATCAATCGCAATGCAGTTTTATTTAATCCATATATGTACGCGACACAAATAATCTAGCTTTACACAAATAACAATAAAAATTAGACTTAAAACTATTTGGAAAATCATCTGGGAATAAATAATCTACAATCTTCATAATTTTAAAATTAACATATGTTTGTTTGACACACTTCTCGCACATGGGCACAATCGGGTACATGTATTCTGGATAATAAACAGTTAGGTCAATTTTTAAAATTCCTCGATTGCTGGATAAATAATCATAATGATCAGAAAAGGCCCAAAGCTCTTCTTCGACAATAAAATTACACTTGTTAGTACGGGTTTTAGAGCGAGTCCGGGATGACACCGAGGACGCACTGTTAGATACGCTCGAACGACGAGAAAAACGAATGCGTAAAGTAGGTGCCATGGTAAACGTAATAGAACAACCAAACAACTATAAAAAAGATTTAGATATAATGCTTTTATATAAAATGCAACAAATGCAGTCTCGAAAAATACTCAACATGAAGTAATACACTAATATAATAAACATCAGGAAACATTAAAATTAATGGGCAATAAAAACGTCTGGAGGTCAGTATTTGCTATACTTACACGCTATTCCATATTCTTACACGCTATTCCATATTCTTACACGCTATTCCATATTCTTACACGCTATTCTATATTTCATATGCTGACCACTGTGCTACTCTGTCGACTGTCGTATCTGGAGCAAATGTGGCTACTTCTACAAATTCAAGATCCGCTTATTGAATATCTTGTTTGAATTTTTTCTTATTTTTTGTTTTTTTTGTAATATTCCGTAATCATGTGGTATTTTTCGTCGTGTTTTTTTGCTGCTGCGTCCAATGCGTTCACTGGTACTCCTCGATTTAATGGATTTCCGGGTCCCAGGTACTTGTATCCGGGAAATATTACTCCACTTCCACTCGGACCCTGTTGATCTGGTGGCTGCTGATCCTGCGCGCTGGGGTGACTCCCAAGTGCCCGGAGATCCAGTGGTATCGTGTGTGGTGTTATTGTCGTATCCAGTTTTATGTACGACAGCTAGTGTACGCACATCTGGGGCCATGACGTATGTTCTGTTCTTCGGCCACAGACGTGTTGGGTGGTCGACACTTACTGGGTTGCTAGGGCTGGCATTTTCGTTGCCAAGGGGCGAGGTGGTGCGCCCTTTGTGTCCGCTTTCAAGATAGCCGGGGCGTCGGGCGGTGTCTTTGTCGCTTCGGGCGCCCTTGGAGCTGGCTCCGCGGGTTGGGCCTGAGTTGGGCCAGGCGAGTGCCTGACTGCCACTTCCACTTGCTGTGACTCGCTCTGACCGCCAGTGCCCGCGCTCGAGACCGCCTTGCATAAAAGAGCAAGGTTCGGTGGGTCCGGGTACTCAGTGGGCGATACGCCCCAGAGGGTCTTAGAGAAGGCCACGTTGGCCATAGCAGGGCTGAGATCTAACAGAGAAGATGGCCAGTTCACATCACGATAGTGATACTTCATAGATGTGCAAAGTACGTTAGACACAAAACCGTTGGAGACTGGTTCGGGTGCCCAGGAATTCAAGGTTTGTATTTTTTTGTGTGGAGGCAGTCCTTTTCTATTACTTCTGACTGTTCCGCATGCGTAGGTATTCTCAGTTTTCAACTTTTCAAGTAAAGCAACAGATGTAAAAAAATTATCAAAATAGACGAAATATTATAATTATACAAAAATAGGTCGAAATTGTAGTTACAAAAATATTATCAATAGTACAATTTTTCAGTTCGATTTATAAGCAATAAATTTAATATCTTTTTTTTTTAAAAAAATGAACATATTACGAGAAAGTCAAATGATATCTAGTAGTTAATAGCATCAATACAGACCATATCCAAATCCCTTTGACATACACTTTATTCATCAGAATACACATAAAAACTAAAAAATTTCCTATCTAATGACTTTATAATGGAAGACCAATATTTATGATCCGATCCATGTTAGTCTAACATCTTTTACACTAAACCACGCAGTCACACAAGTCCTCGTGCGAATATGCTCTATTGAAGTATTTCTGTCGGTGAACTATTAGTTTGTGTCACAGATAAATGGCATCCATTATTATTATTTATTTTACATTATTTATATAATAAATATTCGAAGGGTCAATGTTAAGAGGGCGCCACCAGAAATATTTATTTTAAATTCCAGAGTTTTAAAGCGCTTTGTAATAGGGTAGACTGGGCACGGTTGTGACAGTGGTCATATAGAGATAGTCATATGCCTGAAAAAGAGGCAGTAGGGTAAGGTTAAGGTTGATAGAAAGAGAGACGGTTGAAGGCAGCTTAGCCACGGTAAAAAAATCTTGCTGATCTAAAATAACTTTAACCATAAAAGACACTTTTCTGTCAATTAAGTAGCATACTAACCAAATTATTGGCGATCCGTTGAATTGAAATATATCAGTCGGTTTAGTAAAGTGAGCAAAAAAATTCTTCTACTACTTCAGTATTTGCATTATATTCCGATATATTTGTCTCTAAGTTTCGTTTCTTCCACTTATGGTTTGGTTCTACTACTTTCGGTCTGGTAGCTCTAGGCATAGACGTATTTGTTGAAGGAAGAGCAATTTGGGGACTGGGGATAGGGATTGGAGATGCATATACCTGATCAACGGAACAACCTGATGGCACTTCTTCATTTGTCGGCGATGGAGGAATTTCAGCTGAGACCCTCTCTCAATAGCCTCCTCAAAATAGTCGTCGAAGCCTCTCGATAAGGGTAATTGAAGATCTTTTTCGACTTCTTCATCGGAAACACATACATCAGAATCTTCGCTACAATCTGGAAGATCCTCTAACAACAGAGCTTCAATGAGGGCAGTTTTTTTAGAAATATCCATTACCGTACATCTATAACAAAAATGGAACAATAATAAGAAAATAATCATTGATATATAACGAAACAAAGTACCCATTCATCGTGTATAATTATCATAAAATTCAGTAAATTATAAGACCAAAAGTTTCTGACGGTACTTTTTAGTTCTCGTCGGTTTTTATAAAATATAAACATGAAATAAGGTAAAAATACATCATGCAAGTATTTATAAATCTACTTGATAATATAAACTTACTATATAATCGAAAGTATTTGAACTTACCTATGATACTATATTTTTAAAACTATAACAAATACACCGCAAGGCGAACTCACTGAGTGCAAGACAAGTTGTTACTTGCAGATCAAATTGATTGGTCGGTTCTAGCGATAGACCAAATTCTGTGCTCTTATTGGCTCACGTCAATCGTACTCTGAGGGCGCGTTCCCACCGTGTCGTGACGACAGATAATCGTGTAGTTTTAAGTGTCGTGGCTTATATGTTTAAATGGAGGTGTTCACATTTAGAACGACACAATTTACTGTCGTCTACGACAGTTTTTGCAGTGACGACACTTTGTCGTGACAGTGGGAACGGCAAGCACGACAGTCGTAAAACGATAAAAAAATCGTGGACGGCAACTCTATGTAGACGAACACGCACCCTGCAGAACATAAGTTTGATATAATAAAAGATTACAATCAGGCCATGGGGGGAGTAGACCGCCTTGACTCTATGCTGGAGGCCTATCTAGTCGAGAAACAGTGTTTAAAATTGAACCGGAAACTTTTCAAACGCCTTTCGAATATTTTTATTCGAAATGCAAGAGTCATTGTTGAGAAATCAACCAATACCAAAGTCGATGCCGTGGCGTTTCGATTGTCGTGGGTCGATAGCATTATAAACCTGTCAACCTGTATGGAGCATCAACAATAGTTATTTTATACAATTTATCTTTGCAGTTTTTACGACATAGTGGGAACGCGCCCTGAAGTATCGCCAGTTAGTTTAAGCACGAATATTCAATGTATACAAAAGGAGCCGGTACTTAATAGTACCGTAAGGAAGGAATAGGTTAAATTTTAAAACTTTGAATTTTAGTTAATTTAACCCCTATTTCTATGGACTGCTTTAAATTTCTGTAATGAATTACATATTTATCTATATTATTTAAATTTGGGACTAGTTTATTCTCATTAATATTGTCTACATAAATGTTTTCTGGACATAAAGGAAAGTCCGAATACAGAATTTAATGTGTCAGACATCGGACTTCGGTTTTATTTTAGAAGTTGATTTGGAATATCCAGATGAATTTCACGATTTACATCCGAACTTTCCTTTATGTCCAGAAAACATTTGTGTAGGCAATATTAATGAGAATAAACTAGTCCCAAAGGGGGACGCCCATTTTCGGCCATGGAACGCCCAACAATGTGAATTTTTTAAAAAATTATATCTTTATTTATGGTTATTAATTGCGGTATTCATTTATCCTCAAACAATGGGAATATTTTTGCACAAATTAAAAGTACCGGAAACATAATAATAAAAATTAGGTAAATCATTATGTCATTAGTTTGTGAATAAAAAAAAAGTGTTGCCAATCACAAAACACATTTAAAAAATCGATTCTCTTTTTCGATAGATTATTTACGGTGTCATCATTACAGTGCTAATATAATTTTTAAATAATTATGATGCTACGATAATTAAACAAGCGAATTACTAGCTGATTTCCAATGAATTCTTTAGAGAGTAACAAATACTACGGCACAATTTAACTGTTAATCTTAACCGATCTTCTTTGAAAACAGATAAGAACTGTTATTCCTATCTGTTTTCAAAGAAGATCGGTTAAGTTATTCTTATCTGTTTATAACAATACATTTAAAATAGAATCATGTTATGATAACGAAACAAGTTAGTTTCCTGCTGATTTACCATGAATCCTTTAACCTTTTGAGCGCCAAAGTCGCCTATACTTGACCAACACCTGTGGGCCCTGAGCGCCAACGACGTCTATAGTTGACAAAAAACCCGGCTCCGAAAAATATGAAATGTAGATATTGGAAAATTATTACAGGTATTTTAATTCTACACTCCTCAAAATAGGCATAACCCAGCAACATGTGAGTATAAAAAAACAAGTCTTCTAGAGCCACAAGTACTAAGAAACATTGAACTAATAAAAATGGATTTTTATCTAAGCAAATACTATGTCCAGCACGCCAAAGTCGTCTATGGTTGACCGCTAGTGTCAAACGCGGGAGGCATAGATTTCTTGAAAACTATCCAAAATTCAGCTCAATGGTGTTTTTTTTCTATTATTATTGATATTTGAATAAAATTAAAGGTTAGAAACATAAAACTATAATTAGCTACATGAATAAAAAAAATGTTATCAGATTATCTTCGCATAATAAATCTAATATCTCAACTCTAGCGCATCTTTAGCGCGTCATCGAAAATCAGTTCACTGGGCACCGTGATCAAGGATAGACGACACTCTGATGACGTCATAAGCACGGTAATATTATCTATACAGTATTCCAACTTCATACAAACGGACGAAGCGAGAGCTATACCTACGCGCCTCGATCCCATCGGCATGCAGACAGTCGAGACTGTGTCAGTCATGATTTTGTGAAATATATAAAAAATGGAGGAAATAAATAATAGAATAGAAATAAAGAAATAATAAATCTGAACTTCATTCAAAAACAAACATATAAATTGTAAAGAAGCTGCAGGTATCTATAACCAATTAAAAGATATTCCTTTTCTCCACGTTGTCCATGTTTCCCAAAATAATTTTTAATTTATATTATTTTTAGCTTTATATTAGAAAGCGGATTTTTTATATTTAAAAATCTAATAATAAAGCATTTCGTAAGTCTCAGCCGAGGTGCAAATATTTTTCGGTCGCAAATTTATTTAACCGATTTGTTATACAAACATAAACATGGTTTTTTAATTAAATCAACCAATCAAAAAACGACACGCATTTTTATTGAACACTTCCTATTCAATTCACAAAGTACCTATTTTATTTGTTCATATAAAAAGTATATTTACAATCATAAAACTAAATGGAAACACAAAGTAGGCAAATGTAAAATTGCTGGAGGCAGGTAGCCCTATCGCATGTTTACGTGCCGCACGACTGTAGGCATTTATTTGAAAGATACGGCCGAGTTACAATACTGTATAGATAATATTACCGTGTCATAAGTGATTACCGAGAAAAGTAGAGCAATGCAACATGAAAGATTCATCAGAACTCATTCGGATTTTGGAAAGCGTTGATGATGATGAATTTTGATTTTTGATTGATGAATTGAATTTTTGATTGATTAGTGAAGAAATATGTTTATTTATTCCATGACCAAGATTTTAGTATTATAAGGCTGATTTACCTAGTGCGAATAATTATATACAATTGTTGATTAATGAATAATTATGTACCTTTTTTAATAATAATACAAAATTACAATTAATGTTTTTTTACTTAGGGTGTGAAGAGCAATTTTTCATTTTGTGTTGTGCCATTTTCTTTCTCAGTCTCAAAATCATCTAGTAGCATCAGCATCATATCAAATCCCCATTGTCATAAGAGTGTAAGACTTCTCTTCTGTGCGTCACTTGGCCTACGCCTTCCCCGACACATAAAATATTATGAATCGATGTCTGTATATTTCGGTTAGATCGATTTTGAAATCGATACACAACATTCTAAGAATGTTTCAAAAAGGAAGGTCAGCTACGCCGTTGTCGTCCAGTCACGACAGTGTCGTCATTAGGATGGAGAGTAGTGCTGTGGTTTACTACTATTTTATTGTTATTGTTTAAAAATACACTTAAAATAGAATTTAAATAAATAAAGGAAAATACATTCTAAAAAGGGAGCAGAAGCACCTCCAAGATTATTCTCTTTTTATGGAATTATTAATCGAATCGATATTATGATGTTATGATAATTAAAAAAGCGAATTACTAGCTGATTTGCTATGAATTCTTTAGAGTATAACAAAATGCTGCTGCACAATTTAACAGTAATTGTTATCTGTTTTAACAATACATTTAAAATGGAATCATGTTATGATAATTAAACAAGTGAATTTTTAGCTGATTCACCATGAACTGTTTAGAGCATGATAATACGCTACTGCACATTTTAACTGTTTTTAAAAAATACATTGAAAAAAAGAATTTAAATAAATAAAAGAAAATATATTTTAAAAAGCATGTAAAACTTAAAGCGCCTCATATATTACTTTTTTTATTAAATTACTAATCGAATAAAAATCGATATCGTTTCATTGTATTTATGCACAGATTAATCTGTGTATTTATGTTAGTTATGTGGGAACATCAAATCTGACAGCTAGGAAATATGTCATGCGAATTGGGAATGAAAATGAAATCACAATTCAACAAGTAAAAAGATACTAGAGAATTCACAACTAAATAGTCGCAATTGTGTTATTTTGTTTGTTATTTTTCAAATAAATTCTCAAGAACTCATATGAAGTGAGATTGTCGATCACATTATAGTGTGACAACAGTTAAAAGTAAGTGTTTAACAGTTTTAATTTAATAATTCTAGTGCTGATATTTGATAGTGATGAATGAATGAAATGATGAAGTTGTTTTATTTTTTAACATATGCACAAGCTATATCTGACAAACATAATAGCTTATTTATAACATGGCGGTACTAGCTAACACCAGATAGTTACAAAATGGACAATTTTTATCAAATACCAAGAAATGAGAAAGTCGATTTTTAATTGTTTTTGGACTACTGGTAGGCAGTCAGTCCTTAATTATTAAAAATATAGGGCATTAAGTTTTAAGTAACATTTACCTATATTTGAGTTTAAAGTAAACAAATCTATTTTATTTTGTTCACTTTTTCTTATTTTTTTTATTTAATATTATTTCAGTTGCCATCGTCATCGCGTGTCATGATTGCTGGCAAAGGACTGATAAAGCAGCATCACGTTAAACTTTAGAACGGGAACCATCTGAATCATCTAGTCCGTCCTCGTTGCAATCTAAAGTGAGTAATATATTGAACCTAGAACAACAAAGCTTAGATCATACATCGTACAATATACTGCTGCCTAATTTTGTAAGACCACCACTCACACAAAATCAATGTTTTTTCCTGGTTGTAACTATTCCAATCAACTCACAGTTCCATCAACATTGCGGGTATGTCTTTTTATGAATACAATTACTATGTACCTCCAGAATGTAGAATCAGTAAGTACCATTTAAATAGTAACTCTTGGTATTTACTTTTAGAATCAATATATAATCATATTAAAACATTTAGTGTAGCACAAATTATAGATTTTTCTACATTATTGTAAGATAATATTTACCATCATATTATAGACTTTGAAAGTATTCACAGTATGCCTGAATATAGTGTACATTATTATCTAGGCTTATCAAAAGCACAATAACAATAAATTCTGTCTAAAGTTCCCAAAATGTCAAGTAAACATAGTGGATGTTTTGCACTTGCTGTATATTTGCTGAAAATAGGAACATGAGATAGTGATGAATGCATATCGGCATTATTGCAAGTGCCAAGAAACAAATAAGAGCGGCTCATGAATATGGCCCGTGAAATATTAAATCAGGATGTTGTTACTATGAATTTTATCCATCGTTAACACTCTCTGTGCCAAATTCCATTCAGTAATTACGATATTATATTAGAGGCAAATAATTTCTTAGCTTTCCTAGATGTTTTTGTTGTCCAAAATCATAACAACATCATATGTCACTGTACTGTACACTGTGTATAGAAAAAAGACCCATACAAACTTATATTTAAGCGGTGAATCTCACCATCATCCTTCACAGTTAGTTACCGTGAGCAAATGTTTGTTACAGAGAGCATATGGGATCTATGAGAGCAAGCACCTGGCCGCGGAGCTTCAGCACATCAAGCAGGTTCTGCACAAAATCAAGCTTCGGGTCCCACATCTACGTCACAGTGACTGAGTGAAGCCGACCACAGTTGAGCGTGTGCTAGCTGTATTACCGTATGTCAAGGTTGTCACCCCAACCAGATAGACATACATCAGATTTGATAGATCACAAATCCTCGCGAAAGAGCCTTAATTCCTACCAAGGATGATATGTGAGGCTATTGAAATTAAAAACATCCTAATTTCAATAGAGAAGGCGGTTGGGTACTACCACCTACTTGGGACACTATAATTAATAAAATTAAAACCAAACCCAGGCATACCACTGCAAGACTTAAAGATAGAGTAAGTTCAATCTGCATAGATTGGACTATTAAAATAATAATAAAAAGCTGAAGGTATCGTGGTATCGTGGAAGGTAGGTGTCCCAATACTGACATTGGAATGGCAGTCACCTCAGTCCCCCGTGACCATGGGTGCTATAAAGCACCTGAAATGTCGGGAAATAAAAGTTAAAGAAGTTAAAAGCGATAAAATTGGTAAAAGTAGTCGTTAAAAAACTGTATTTGTGAAAATAAAAACTTTTATATCATAAAAATCCCGACTTTTTTTAAACCAATTCCTTAGCCATTTCATTATTTTAATTGCATATTATCGTTTCCATATGCTTTTATATGTGGGCACCAATGGCCGAAGTGTCTATGAACAGTGGGCATCCCCCTTTAAATAATAAAAATAAATATGTAATTCATTACAGAAATTTAAAGCAGTGTATAGAAATAGGGGTTAAATTAACTAAAATTCATAGTTTTTAAATTTAACCTATTCCTTCCTTACGGTACTATTAAGTACCGGCTCCTTTTTCGTCTAATACATTAAATACGCAAACACTTCGTGCTTAAACTCACTGGCGATACTTCAGAGTACGATTGACGTGAGCCAATAAGAGCACAGAATTTGGTCTGTCGCTAGAACCGACCAATCAATTTGATCTGCAAGTAACAACTTGTCTTGCACTCAGTGAGTTCGCCTTGCGGTGTATTTGTTATAGTTTTAAAAATATAGTATCATAGGTAAGTTCAAACACTTTCGATTATATAGTAAGTTTATATGTATTATCAAGTAGATTTATAAATACTTGCATGATGTATTTTTACCTTATTTCATGTTTATATTTTATAAAAACCGACGAGAACTAAAAAGTACCGTCAGAAACTTTTGGTCTTATAATTTACTGAATTTTATGATAATTATACACGATGAATGGGTACTTTGTTTCGTTATATATCAATAATTATTTTCTTATTATTGTTTCATTTTTATTATAGATGTACGGTAATGGATATTTCTAAAAAAACTGCCCTCATTGAAGCTCTGTTGTTAGAGGATCTTCCAGATTGTAGCGAAGATTCTGATGTATGTGTTTCCGATGAAGAAGTCGAAAAAGATCTTCAATTACCCTTATCGAGAGGCTTCGACGACTATTTTGAGGAGGCTATTGAGAGAGGGTCTCAGCTGAAATTCCTCCATCGCCGACAAATGAAGAAGTGCCATCAGGTTGTTCCGTTGATCAGGTATATGCATCTCCAATCCCTAACCCCAGTCCCCAAATTGCTCTTCCTTCAACAAATACGTCCGTGCCTAGAGCTACCAGACCGAAAGTAGTAGAACCAAACCATAAGTGGAAGAAACGAAACTTAGAGACAAATATATCGGAATATAATGCAAATACTGAAGTAGTAGAAGAATTTTTTGCTCACTTTACTAAACCGACTGATATATTTCAATTCAACGGATCGCCAATAATTTGGTTAGTATGCTACTTAATTGACAGAAAAGTGTCTTTTATGGTTAAGGTTATTTTAGATCAGCAAGATTTTTTTTACCGTGGCTAAGCTGCCTTCAACCGTCTCTCTTTCTATCAACCTTAACCTTACCGTACTGCCTCTTTTTCAGGCATATGACTATCTCTATATGACCACTGTCACAACCGTGCCCAGTCTACCCTATTACAAAGCGCTTTAAAACTCTGGAATTTAAAATAAATATTTCTGGTGGCGCCCTCTTAACATTGACCCTTCGAATATTTAATTAATGTAAAATAAATAATAATAATGGATGCCATTTATCTTTGACACAAACTAATAGTTCACCGACAGAAATACTTCAATAGAGCATATTCGCACGAGGACTTGTGTGACTGCGTGGTTTAGTGTAAAGGATGTCAGATTAACATGGATCGGATCATAAGTATTGGTCTTCCATTATAAAGTCATTAAAGATTTATTTTCACGTAGGGGTAAATAATTTAATATTTAAAATGCTATTAACCCAGATAAGCCTGAAACTAAAATTTTCTGAAAATTTTGAAAAAAGTTACATTATTTAGTTTATTAGATCTTATGCAACATAAAAAAAATTATGAAAAAAAAAATTAAGTGTAAGGCTTTCAGGGAAACAGCCGTCCTATATGTAGGACAGTAGGATAATAAGAGGAAATAAAAGACCATTTATGACAAAACAGAATGTAATTAAAAAGTGTAGTTTATTAGATAACTATTGATTATATTACCCATTGTTATATGTAATTTACTAGATTAACACTATTTATGAATGATATGTTTCAAAACACTTGACACACACTCCAACATCACATTTCTTGCAACGTGTCAAACATTTTTTGTGACATTGACGACAGCGTGTTTGCTTCGATTGAGGAATAACCAGATGATTCATTTGGTCTTTACGACTATCAGCATGTTCATGATGGGAGGGTCGACTAGGCCCTCATTTGGCATTTTTTCTGTTTGATTCAATCAAAGCAATTGCTACCCTTCTGCGAAAGCCAAGATGATCCAGTTTTCCATGATTTATTTTATATAACTGCCATGCATTATGTTCGGCAAGATCAATCATGTGTGTGAGCAACGGCATGTACCATTTCTTACCTCGTATACCAATTCGGTAATGTGAAATATTTTCATCAGACCGATCCACTCCTCCCATATATTTGTTATAGATGGACACCATATGTGGTTCTTCTATGACAATGTTTCTCTTTTCACTTTGTGAGAAGCGTTTGGCAGATTGTTTAGGATTTATTCCTACAGCATTAGAAGCAATACTGAATATATTATTGTCATGCCATTTAGCAATAATGAACGTGTTGTTATGTGTCGTTCTGTAATCGACAGCACCACGTTCCTTTTTTTTCAGTAACTTCGATGTAATCAGAGGACAACTAGATGTCCTGTTTTCTCGAATTGTCCCAGTGCAACGAAGGCCTTTCTTTGTTATCTCTTCCAGCAAGGGCGTCCCAGTAAAAAAATTATCAAAAACTACGTGGTAAGGAAGGTCGAAGCCACGTGAAATCAGCACATCGCAAAAAGTGAGAACAACGCTTGCACCCAGCCCCAATTCTTTATATATTGGATTGCACATAGTTGTAGCACCTTGGTATGGTTCCATCCATAAAACATACCCTAACCGTGTAGCACCAACCCAAGCTTTGAACCCGTACCTAATAGGTTTACCTTTTATGTGCTGTTTGCAGCCATGTCTACCATAGTAGGGGATCATGGCCTCATCTACACTGTAATGCTCTTCAAGAGGAGAAAACTCTAAGAACTTTTTATTTAGAAGTGTAACTAGGGGGCGTACTTTTGTGTATTTGTCTTGCAAATCCAGATTATCATTGACATGAAGGTGGCGAAAAATAAAGTCGAATCTATCCCTAGTCATAGCCGAGCTGATCAATTCATTCTTTGTATCAGGGGAGTTTTCCCAATACATTCTTCTACCAACAATATGCCGATGAAACATTTCATATCTTCGGTGGTTATGTCTCCAGGCAAATTCTTTTTGACAGCATATTTATTGCTCTCTGACACCAACAACGAAATAACATCTTCATCTAAGAAGTTTTCAAACCACTCAATTGGGCGCTTATCTTGGCAAGCGCCTTGAACATCTGGCCAATTCACGGGATTTTTTGCCAAGTCCCGTTTTCTTCATGCGTAGTGTTAGGAGGCCGATCCCGTTTGAGTTTTTAAAAAAAAAACACCAAATAAACCTAAAGGTTTATTGCAAAAAGTTCACACACCAAATTAATATAGTCCTTGACTTCCGAACTCTAATAAGTCTCGGAATCTATGTCCGATCTACCCGGGGCTCTGAGTCTAACTGATCATTAAAAATGGAATTAAAACGAACATGGAAAGAAACAATATAACAATATAACTGCTGACTATAGCTAAATTAAGGAAAAGTACCGTGTGATTAAATAAATGCTTACTAATATTTTGTTGCCTTGTAAAAAGGGATATAACAGCTTCCCCCTTTTGACTGAGCTTTTTTCTAAATTAAGATAAAGCGAAGATTCGAAATAGAAAAGCGATTAGAGATCGGAAGGCATTACAAAATATGAAGATAGGAAATTAAAAATTGTAGTAAAATATTGTAAATCAATTTTACATAAAGATACAATGGTATTATTCGTTAACTAACTAAGTTATACAAAAAGACAGAGTAAAATTCAAAAAAATAATCAAATTAAAACTAAATAATAAAATTATACAAAAATGAATTAGTAAAATCTAAAATTAAAAGTATTTTGAACGAAATAGTAAAATTAGAAATAAACTTGTATTAAACAAGTTAGTAATTTCAATTACAATTACATAGATTGCATTGAAAATAGAAAAATATAGCAATTACAAAATATAAAATGACAGAGTAGAAATTAAAATTATATAATAATAAAATCGATTATTTGTATTAACACAAAAATCTTAAAACTAAAATTGAATAAAATTAGAAATTAAGATTTCTTCGAGAGGAAGAATGAACCTTGTGTACAGTTTTATAAGGTTTATAATTAGTACAATTTGCTAAAGATTTTAGCGAGATATTATCTTCTTCAGATGTCGATTTATCGGTCATCTCAATTGAATTTGAAATTTTAGAATTATGTTTCGATGACTTTTTGTTATTACATTGATTAAATATTTGTATACAATATCCACTGTTATCGTGACGATTTCTGCAGCATTTAAATAATTTATAGGCAATGTATAAAAATAGTAGTACAATTAAAACATAAGTAAATGTTGAATAGTTATGAGCCATATTTAATAAAATGTGATTCTTTTTGAAGGTTATTTAATTCAAATTCTAAACTATCCAGTTGATGATTTGCATATTTTAAAGAATCCAAGTTAACTTTGCTTAATGAGATTGGCGTTAAATGTGGTAAACTTTTATTAAATATGTCCTTTTTGCAACAATCATCTTTCGTTATATCAAAACTTATATCTATGGTTGATTTGATCGAAAATTGGTAAGTATTAGTTGGCAATAATTGAATAGTTTTGGAATAACCGATACAATTTTCGGTTAATTTGACAATACCTGTACCAATAATAGAATGATCAGTAATGTCGTCATCACATTTGATAGTTAATTTATTTACATTAGATTGTACATAAATCCATCTATTATTTTTTAATTTATGCCAAACATTGATTTGGCCAAATAATAACTTAGCGTTACAATCAGAAGGTAAGGTAAGAGTTACTTCTGTTAGTAGTTTCGATTCGCAATTTGGATTACTTACACTAGACGTTATAGTTGATAGTTCACAAATAGAGTAGTTATTATTAATGAAATTACAATCATCTAAGTTATTAAACATAGTATAATGTATTCTATCGTCACTTAAAGCAATATAAGAATTAGAAGGTTGAATAAGTGCAAAAGTTTGCATATTATGTGACTCGTCGTGAGGAGTCGGTAATGGGATATTTTTATAAACAGTGAATTTATCAGGTGTTATCAGTGGAATTTGCAAACTGAAAACAATCTTATTGTTATAATAATATGAACTAAGTTTCGAGACGTCAATCAAAGAATGAATATTATGTATGTTCAATTGCATTGGAAAATCTAAACGTTTGTTTAATTGATTAATGTGCTTAGTTAATTCATTGTAAAGACTTAAAGGGCTAAACACACTAGGATGCAAAACATTTACCTTGGAAAATAAAATAGCATTTATAGTTGTGTCTAGTAAATTAGAAATAGCAAGTAAGGAGCCTTCAATTACGTTTAGTAAATTATTTATCCTAGAAATGTGAAGGAGTAAGTTATCGGTTTTTGTAATTTGTGACAAAATTTCATTCATTTTATTAATTTGGGAGTTCAATTTTAATTCGTTTTGATTTAATTTATAAATAGTGGAATTAAAATTATTTACAGTGGATTTAATTATATGAATATTATCTCTGAATAAATTAAATAATTCCGTTTCACTTTTCCGACAGGATTCTATCGCGGCATCATATTTTCGCGCATCATCTGCGTCTAGAGTACCAAAGAAAAATTTAAGAATTTCGCCTCCAAATTCCAAAGATCTTTTGACTTTGTTTGGCGATAAGTTATTATTGATTAAATGTGCTAGAGATTGCAATTTGACGTAATTATATTTTATTAAAGTCTCTATAGGAGTAGAAAAATCTATACACGGGGAAAATTCGTCAGTATTTATTTTGGAACAAAGATTTAAAGTATCATATAATAAATTTTCTATTTTATTGAGATAAGGATCTAAGGATATAAGGTCTATATGTGTTATGACTTTCCAATAATCGTTATAAAAATTAATATGCGTAATAGGTTCAAAATAAATTCCAGGGCTATGTGATATAGGTATGATCCTCGATTCAGCGTGGCTTTGGTTTCCATAGCATAAAGCTCTGAAAAAGTATACAAAGTTAATTAAATTTAGGGAGTTTGAATAGCAGGCTTAATTTCGTTTGTATGGTACTTAACATGTTTACGACCTATTTGTAACGTTACGTTATGCTTATTATTTATTTTTATAATTTTATATGGGCCCTTCCATATAGGTGATAGAGCCTTACGGAGCCGGTGATGATGTTTTATATACACTAAGTCGCCAATTTTATAAGAAGTTTCACGTGAACTAGCATCATAATATTGTTTCGATTTTTCTTTGCTATTAATTATATTTTGAATGGCCTTTTCTCTACTAAAACGCATTCGATATTGTAAAGCTCGAATATATTCATTATAGGTTGTATTATTATTTGTTTCATATAGGGAATTTGGAATGTTAGGTTTATAACCATATAATAATTCATGAGGGGTGAAATTAGTGGTGCAATGTGGAGTGGTATTATAAGCTAATATTGCGGTAAATAGATAACAATGCCAATCGTTCTGGTTTTCGTTTACGAAGGATTTTAGGTATTCTTTTAAAGTAGCATGTGAGCGTTCTAGGGCTCCATTTGTTTGTGGGTGATAAGGAGTGGTAAATAAGGCTTTAACCTTTAGAATTTGAGTCAGTTGTTTAAATAAATCGGACGTGAAACACGTACCCAAATCTGTTAAGATCGTTTTAGGAAAACCGAAAATAGACATAAAATGTACGAGATTTCTGGCTATTTCTTCACTGGTAGCTGTGACCAGGGGATAAGCGCTTGAAAATTTAGTTAAATCGTCTTGCAATGTAAGGATAAATTTGAATTTTTGGAAACCTGCGTCGGGCAAAGGACCAACGATGTCGAGAGCTAATCGTTCAAAAGGTCTAGTAGAAGTGGAAGTTATCTCCATTGGAGCCTTATTGGACATTCTCAGCGGCTTATTAATTTGGCATAATTGGCATTTCTTAACGTAATCTACAATATCAGAGCGCATACCCTTCCAGTAGTAGGCGGCTTTAATTCTTTTATACATACGATTTGATCCTGGGTGACCCGCAATAGGTGAATCATGATTCTCTTTTAAAATTTTTGGGATTTCGATGGGAGTAGGGTAAATTAACTGATTTTTATAAATATGGATTTTAATATTAGTATTATGGAAAATATAGGCAATCATATTATATACCTTAATATAAGCTAACTTAGAGAATGGGTCTGAAAAGTCTGACAAGGCGAGATCTGTGATATCGGGATTTTCGACTAAAATTTTATCTCTAAGTTTTATCATTAAATTGTAGATGTCTTTAAATTTGGTTTCTTCATAATGGTGAACTTTAGTATATAAAAAATAGAAGTATTTATTCTTATCTTTAACACATTGAATTGTAAAAGGTTCGTGTTCGGAATTTAGCAATTCCTCCGGCTTATCCAACTGCGATAATATTTCTTCACAGTGGGGTATAGATGAGTCGAAATCTAAAGAGACCGGACACGCAATATATTTTAACTTAGACAAATGTAATCCTTCAGTGCATTCTATAATTACTGTATTTGAAATAGAAGTTTTATTAGTGAATTGATCCTTAAAATATTTTTCATAACTAGAGTTATTTAAAGTATTAATGTCTATAACATTAACGGGACAGCGAGATAACGCATCAGCATTGGAGTTTAAACGGCCTTGTTTATAAATGATTTCGTAGTCATATTCTTCGAGTTTTAGGCGCCAACGAATGAGTCTACTGCCTGGGTCTTTGACATTAAATAACCATACTAATGGTCTGTGGTCGGTGACAATTTTAAATTTATTACCGTAGAGGTAAGGGCGAAATGTTTTGGACTGCGAATAAAATGGCTAGGAGTTCTTTTTCGGTAGTTGAATAATTACCTTCGGCACGATTTAAAGTGCGCGATGCGTAAGCTATTGGTTTGTCCTTGCCGACAGGACCTTGGGATAGAACTGCACCTACGGCGTAATTACTTGCGTCTGTGGTTACTATGAACGGCTGAGAGAAGTCTGGGTATTGGAGCAGAGGAGCAGTGATTAATTTTTCTTTTAGAATATCGAAAGTGGTTTGTTGCTCTAGAGACCAGTGGAAATTAGCGTCCTTTTTTTAATAAAGAAGTAAGAGGTTTCGTTAATTTGGAAAAATTATCAATAAATCGGCGATAATAGCCTATTAAGCCTAGGAAGGATTTAATTTCTTTAGGATTCTTAGGAATTGGGAATTGCGATACTGCTTTTACCTTGTCTGGATTTGGAGAGACACCTTTGTCGGTGATAATGTGACCAAGATAAGTTACTTCACGTCTTAAGAATTCGCACTTGTCTGGTTGCAATTTTAAATTGTATTCGCGGAACTTATCAAACACTAATTTTAACTTTTCCATATGTTGATTCAAATTTTGACTATAAATTATACAATCATCTAGATATACATAGCAGTGTAGACCTTGTAGTCCTGATAAGACAGTATTCATGAGTCGCTGGAAGGTTGAGGGTCCATTTTTCAAACCAAAGGGCATTCTAGTGAATTCATAGTGTCCGGACATGCTAGAGTTAGTACTAATAGTAAATCCCGTCTTTGGAGCATCTTTAGCATCCATCTTTATCTGGTGGAAACCGCTAGCAAGATCGAGAGTTGTAAAATATTTCGAATGGCCTAATTGGTCTAGGATATCAGTGATAAGAGGCAGCGGATAACTTTCTGAAACCGTGATATCATTAAGGCGACGATAATCAATGACTATTCTCCACTTTTTCTTGCCAGAAGCGTCTAATTTTTTCGGAACTACCCATACCGGGGCGCTCCAAGGCGAAACAGAGGGACGAATTATATTTTGATTTAGCATTTTGCGAATTTGTGTATCAACTTCTTCCTTGTGGCACTCGGGGAAGCGATACGATTTTACGTGAACTGGGGGTGCGTTACCCGTATCTATGGAGTGTTGGATGCCATTCGTAAAAGAGAGGGGCTCACCTTCGAGGTGAAAGATATCCGTATAATCGGAACAGCAGTTGAAAAGTGCTTTCTTTTCTTCATCGTTGAGATGAGGGCAGCGTAAAAGATTCAATACTCGATTTATTCGATCAGATTTGGAAGTCGAAACGGAATACATAGATTTGCTAGGTATTGAATTTTCGCAGGAAATAGAATTATCGTAATCTATAGGTGTTAATTCTACGGAATAATCTTTAATTTCTATGTCTGTATCAGTCGTATTTAAAACAGTGATATTAACCATTTTATTTGGTTTTACCGATACTATACAATTCGCGACGTAAATACCCTTGCTTAAGGTGTGATCTAGAACTAAGGCTTCATTATTCCGATAAGTCTCGAGCGAGTAGTTTGATATAGCGCATTCAATGACTGCTTCTGAGCGTGCTGGAACGGTGTAAGTTGGCTGATGAAATATAATAGGAACTTGGTGACCGCAAAGAGTCATTATCTTAGAACTATAATCTATATTAGCATTAAAATATTTAAGAAAATCTGTACCAATAATACCGTCGTAACTAAGATTTATGCTATCGTTAATGACATAAAATTTGTGCTCGTAAGTTTCATCACTTAATAAAAATTGTAAGTAGATTGAGCCTATTGTTTCGCTGTATGTGTCCGTATCATTTATACCTTTGATTCTTACTTTGTCCTTAAGAAGTTCATGTTTCGTTTTCAAACATGATTGCTTTATGACACATACGCTTGCACCGGTGTCGATAAGAAGTTTGAGACACTTAGGAGAATATTTTGTTAATAAATTCGTGTATGGTAACGTAACCTTGCATGTATTTATGCTCGTTTCAAAAATAGGAATAGAACTAGAATAAGACTCATTAAAACTCGGCTTAACCTCTTTGGGCTGCTGAGATGTAGATATAGTAAACGACTTAGTAAGACTCGGTTGTACCTTTTCGGTCAACTGAGGTGCATGAGAACTAGTAAGACTCAGCTTCACCTCCTTGGGTTGCTGAGATGTAAATGAATTAGAATGACTCGGTTGCTTGTTAATGCATCGCCGAGATGAATTAGAATTAGAATAAGATTTAGCATGATTTTTGTAAAAGTTAGTAGAAATAGTATTATTAATTGTTTTCGTGTCATTACCACAGTACGATTTCGGCAGACACGTATCCGAAATCTTATTTAGTTTAAAGAGTTAGAATTATCGATAGTGTCGTCGTTATTACATGTCATGTGCATAGGCACAGAGTTAGAACTAGAATTAGGGTTAGGGTTACGGCTTACAAAATTAGAATTATTATTTGAGCTACGATTTATATAGTTAGAACTAGTATTAGGGTTACGATAAAAATTTTTACTAAAATTTTGACGATGTTGCATATTATATTGTCGCTTTCTACATTGATCAATAGTGTGCCCTATGTTTTTGCAATAGTTGCAAATTAATTTATCAGAGTTAGAGCTAGATAAATGAGAAATTTGTTTATTGTGTTTAAAATTAGAATGGTTTCTATTTTTAAAACATTGAGTAGCGACATGACCTACTTTATTACATATATTACACTGCTTCATTGAATTTTTTGAGCACATTTGAAGATTCTGTAATTTTTCTTCATCTATAGCTAATTGAACAGCTTCGTTTAAGGTTTGAGGGTTTCTACACCTAACAATAGTGGAAATAGCAGGGTTCAACCCTAATAAAAATGTGTTTAATGCTAGGTCCTCCATGGCGGCTATTCTACCTGGAAGTTCGTCAGGAATTTTGCAACTATAGTGTATATCTGATTGAATTTTTGTTAAAATTTGTTCTAATCTTAAAGAAAATTTAGTAACGTCATCGGAAGACTGTTTGCAGTTTTGCAAATCTGATAATAAATGTGTTGAGTGTTTTTTCTCCCCAAAAGTAGAACGAAGAAATGACTTTATTTGGTTCCACGTTTCAAAACTTTTTAAACTACATGCGACCTGAGCTTTTCCCTCTAGCTGTGAGATAATAAATTTGCACAAAATAGGCTGTTGTTCTGCCGTAGCTAACGACATTGCATTATCACAGTTGGTAAGAAAAGCGGGGAGGGATTCCTTCTCCCCATTATAAGATTTTATAAATTTCGTCAAAAACGAAAGTGTGATTTTTTCTGACATATTGTCTTTACTTTTTTCTGCTTTAAGCGACATAGAAATAAAATTAAAATTTGAAGTTATATAAGATAATCACAATAAAATGAAGTAAAAAGGTTATAGTACAAAACAGTGTAAAATAAAGTAATTTTATAAATTTAAATTAGAAAACAAAACGACTTACAGGAAAATAATAACTTCTATACGTTGCATTTACTCGTAACAATAGCTCGGTGACACGTTACACTCGTGGCGGCTGGCAGGCGGAATCGCTGACACGGTGACTTCGTCGCGTCGTGGGAAATGGTAGGAATGGAAGATGTAGAATATTCTTCAAAAATGTTTTTCTTATGTTGGTGAGTTAGACCCAGCTGGTGCGGGCTCCTGGTGGAGGCTGATCGTCGGCCAGACGGGTTTTTACAGGACCAGGTGTGAGCGGAGCGGGCTCACGCTTCAGAGCGGAGGCTGATCGTCGTCCAAAATTGTGATAGGCGCAGGCTTAGGCACGGCTAAGGCTTAATGTCGACCTTGGTGATTTCGGGGACCTCGGATTCGGATGCCAAAGTCTTTTATGACCTTCTGTTTGGCATCCCACTTCTGACACCAATTTGTTAGGAGGCCGATCCCGTTTGAGTTTTTTAAAAAAAAAAAACACCAAATAAACCTAAAGGTTTATTGCAAAAAGTTCACACACCAAATTAATATAGTCCTTGACTTCCGAACTCTAATAAGTCTCGGAATCTATGTCCGATCTACCCGGGGCTCTGAGTCTAACTGATCATTAAAAATGGAATTAAAACGAACATGGAAAGAAACAATATAACAATATAACTGCTGACTATAGCTAAATTAAGGAAAAGTACCGTGTGATTAAATAAATGCTTACTAATATTTTGTTGCCTTGTAAAAAGGGATATAACAGTAGGTACGCCTACGTTTAGTTCGACTTGTAGAATCAGAAGGTTCTTCTTCTGTATCACTCACCATAATCTGCCCTTGAATCATTACTTCAGCCGGTTGAAGCAGAATGTTTCGTGGCAAATTATTCAAAGTTACATTATCTTCTTCACCCGAATCTTCGTCAGTGAGACAGTCAGGATCAACAGGAGGAGGTAGAATACATATCAGTCGTTCTCTATAATCTTCTTCATTATCAGAAACATTTTCTAAAGCATCTAAAATTTCATGCGCAGCTAACGGTCTGTAAAGAAAAAGTTGTATTATTGTACTAAAATCATGTATATTATCCTACTGTCCTATATATAGTACGCTAGTATTTGTAACAAGTTATACGTAATTTATTTATATTATTTTGCTAGAATATTTATTTAGTACAAAAGTTAAGGTTATCAACTAGATATTAACACAGAAAAAAACAACTCACGAGTAAAATATAACTTTTTATACATACCTGTCATTTGCCATGTCTGCAACGCACTTTTATTACACACTTATAAGGTAAAATATAAGGTAAAAACTGTTAAAATAACTGTCTTTTTATTTTTTCTAATAAAGCTGACACGTTTCTTACTGCAAATCATAAGACTAAATAATCTTAGATAAAGAGGGTATTCTGATATTTTTTTTTATTTCTACTGTCCTAAATATAGGACAGTAGGCTTATCTGGGTTAAATATTTTAATCTTAATATCGTATCTGTCCATGAATGAATAAAGAATAATGTGATTTTTTTTGTATGTCAAAGGGATTTGGATATGGTCTGTATTGATGCTATTAACTATTAGATATAATTTGACTTTCTCGTAATATGTTAATTTTTTTTTAGAAAAAAAAAAGATATTAAATTCATTGATTATAAATAGAACTGAAAAATTGTACTATTGATAATATTTTTGTAACTACAATTTCGACCTATTTTTGTAATAAATTAATAATTTCGTGTATTGATTGACGATATATTAGATGGGATTGTATACCAAAGTAACCACTACGCTACACAGAAAGGCAGGGTATTGAATCTAAAAAATGAGGAAATTTTAGCATTTATTGGTATGAATTTCTATAAGGGCTACAACACTCGACCTGCTTGGACAGACCATTACTCTTCGGCATCTGATCTTAACAATCCACTTATATGCAACACCATGCCAAGAGACAGATTTGCTATGATTTTATCACACCTACACTGCAACGATAATGCTCAAATGCCTAAAAACTGCAAAGATAAATTGTATAAAATAACTATTGTTGATGCTCCATACAGGTTGACAGGTTTATAATGCTATCGACCCACGCCAATCGAAACGCCACGGCATCGAGTTTGGTATTGGTTGATTTCTCAACATTGACTCTTGCATTTTGAATAGAAATATTCGAAAGGCGTTTGAAAAGTTTCCGGTTCCATTTTAAACACTGTTTCTCGACTAGATAGGCCTCCAGCATAGAGTCAAGGTGGTCTACTCTCCCCATGGCCTGATTGTAATCTTTTATTATATCAAACTTACGTTCTGCAGGGTGGCCTGGACGTCCAGAAACTAACTCTTGCGAGACGCCATGGTATGTTTAGAAACAAGTCACTCGCTTGCGATCTTGTAGCGCAACAACCATGAAGTCGTCGGAAGCACGGGCAATAAATTGCCCTTCCTGTAAGGGTGCACGTTTTATGGCTTCTGGAACCTCTTTGCGAGTCGGCTGCAGGGTACCGACGCAGTCTGTGTTACGTCGTTTTAGCCAACGCGCCAGGGAGGGGGAATTAAACCAATTGTCCATTAACAGCTTGTACCCCAGGTTGAGGAGAGGTTGAATCAGCCTCAACACTGAGGACACGCTGGATGGTAGTAACCCCGTCCCTGTCGTGCGGCCCGCATATACAAAAAATGACCAAAGGTATCCTGTAGCCAACTTGCACAGTTCGTAGGTTTTTTTACCAAACCTTGGTCTTTATGTATTGCTGAAAGCTAACTGGCCCTTTCCAAAGAGTTAGCGATTCATCAATACATATATTCCGGTCCAGCTGGTATAACTCCTGGAACTTGGCATTCAAGTGATCGAGATAGGGACCCATTGGGTGCAGCGGATTATTTGTGTCAGTCCCATCGGCCAAATGAAATGCCGCATTAAGGTTCCAGTAGCGGGACTCTAATAAGAGGGTGCGAAATATGTCGGTCTTCAGTAGAGGGTTCCTCGTAAAAAAAGATATAATGCTTGGCAATAATGCCAAGCATAATCCAGAATGCGAATAGCTTCCAAATTTCATGGTAATTGGTTTCACACCAATCTCTCATGAACCTTGGACGCTGCTATGCCGGAACCGACTCGGCATACCGGTTCGATTTCTCAGCAATATGGGCCATGATGTTATCTGTCCAGATGGCATGCATTGCCTCATAAGGATCTCGAATCGAGACGGTAGGCCCAGTCGTTTCTGGTACAAAATCGCATTGCCTGCCATTCCACTCGTTCATCCCTCGCCACATAAATCTTTCATTCTCATTGCATTCCTCCCTCTCATTTTCCTCTTCCACATTTGCAAGGTATTCTTCTCCTTTCATACCTCTCCCTCCTAATTAAATAATCACGGATTTGCCCCTGAATATCCAAGGGCAACATCGTGTCTTCCGAAAAAATGTGTGTGGCCGTAGAAGGAAAAGGGAGATCTCCCACCGGGCAAGGTGTTATGCCCGGGGAGCGGCCAACGCTCCGTGTGATAGTTCGGAGATGTTCTATATATGCTGTTTATGATTCGGAATGTTGATAGCGTGATTTAGGCTTCGGTGTGTTTTCGCTTGCGGCGCGACGACAGCGCCGCTACATCACCCCCTGCTCAGACCGGAGGTCGATAGTGCAGTCGAGTTGTCGACGAATGTGCAATTGCCAGGAGATTGCCTTGTAGTCTGCGGTGGGTCGAGAAGAAGGCAAGTAATCTGCGAGAGTGCCGTGAAGCAGAGGCGAGCAGTAAGGCTCAGAGCCGTGCCGAACACTGTATGGCGCAGAGAGTAGCTTGAAGGAACAGGAAGCATTATTATTCCAGTGCTGCGATGAACCTTGTGAAGCTATATGGCTTGCAGGATATGAAGACTGCAGACGATATCTGCTCGGGAGCGAATGGGTGGGGTTATTCTATGACGATGATGAAGCTTGAAGTTTCCGAAGGTTTGGTTGCGTGTTCAGATCACGTCGGGGTCACCACTGTGGCCGTAGAAGGAAAAGGGGAGATCTCCCACCGGGCAAGGTGTTATGCCCGGGGAGCGGCCAACGCTCCGTGTGATAGTTCGGAGATGTTCTATATATGCTGTTTATGATTCGGAATGTTGATAGCGTGATTTAGGCTTCGGTGTGTTTTCGCTTGCGGCGCGACGACAGCGCCGCTACAATGTGCTCCAAAGCTGCTCCACACATCCAACCCTCGATTCGGCAACGGCCACGTCCGCGACCCGCCCGCGCATGGATGCGGTCCCTCGTCGTTGACGTGCCGCCACCGGGTCCATCACTTCCACCCTGAAGCGAGGTGCGTGGCCTGGAGCAGGCTCTGGACCAGAGCCACAAATAAATATTAGCTCAAACATTGTTAATTAAAAAAAAATTAAAATAGAAACATTACATGACTGCTGTTATATATAAATACCACTTACAATTACCTGCACTCCTCCAGGCACCTCTTCTTTTGGGCATTGCGGAGACCCACCGGCTCTCTCCATACCCGCAGGCACATCCTGTTGAAAAATGAACACGGTTTTATTGTGCTGCAAACAATACTAGCTGAAACATGGTTAATTAAAAAAAATTAAAATAGAAACATTACATGACTGATGTTATATATAAATATTACTTACAAGTATAGATAGCGCGCGAGTTGAATGCAGAGTTCAGGAATGCGATAGTGCTGTGACCTAATTAGAATTAATGAAGACAATATGTCGATAAATTTCAACATTGTTTAACGTTTTAAGTTTAGAAAAAACAAGGTAATAATTATCACACATTTTTAATTTTTTACACATCAAATTAATAAAAAAATTATAATTTATGCAGCATCAGATTCTGAAATGGCAGACTTGGTTGAATCGGTGTCACTATCCTCACCATAGCTGACCGCAATTACGAATCGATCTATGGTATCTTCCATTAATCCATCTCTTTGCCAATAATCTTCTTCTAAAATTATGACGTGATCGTCGAAGCTACGTCAATCTTCCTTTGTGACCTGAGAGAGAGCCAGCTCCGTAACTTCTTTTAACCTTTTTATGGAGAAATCAGAAGTAACATTGTGATGCCTTACAATTCTTTTTACTTTTGCCCAAGCCAACTCATTAGGGTTGAGGTCGCACTTGTACGGTGGTAGTCTTACTACGATATTACCCTGACTTCTGATGAATTCATCGATTTTGAAAGATTTTTCCGTAGGTTTATGTAACTGAACAAAGTGAAAGAGCTGATATTTTCTCATAGTAAGTGAAGCTTCGATATTGTTCTTGGTTAACCATTCCGACATTACTGATTTAGTGCCGGACTTTGTTGGGACTTTATTTTCTTGTACACTATGATACGGTGCGTTGTCTATCACAACAACGTTGGTTTGTGGTAGATTAGGGATTAACATATCAGTGGACCACTTCTCAAAATTAACACTGTTCATCTGTCCGTGATAATCACCTGACGTAGTACCAGCCTTAAAAAGTAACTTTGCACCATTTAAAAACCTTCCTCTTGATCCTATGTGTGCAAGAATGAGCCTGTTCGTGGAGCTTGTATCCGTCAACACGGCGTCGATCATTTCATTTCTCCAGCATTTTTTAAATGTGAGGTTGTTGTCTACCCATGTTTCATCGAGAAAAAAAATATTTCGATCTTCTTGCCTATATTGACGAATTTTCCGCAAATAAATTATTTTTATTATTATTTATTTATTTATTTAAGAAATTTATGATTACAAAGATGAATAGTTTTAGTGTAAACATAAACTCATTAGAGTTTTTCCGTACACCATTGCTGTCGACACATTATTCTAATTAACACTTTATATTACATTACATTACCAAAGTTACATTAATATTTTTACCAACTTAAATTAGGTGCATTAAATGTTATGTTTCTAATTGACAAACTATTTATGGGTACAAAAGTATAAAATAGTCTTAGGCGATGAGCGTAAAATCACATGGTGAACTTATTACATTCTGTGAATAATCGTGACACAGGATGATTATAACATATTTTTATAAATTTATAATAAGATAATATGTTGGTAAAGTAAACCAATAATATAGAACGAGAAGTTGTTTAAAGTGTTACGAGTATTTAGTAAGAGTTAATTGTATATAAAAAAAAAAATTAGTTTATATTTTATGTTTTTACGTGTAATGACGTCTTTCAAAGATTTAGGTAACTGATTGATTAGATTAGGTATAACATAGTTTAAAGTTCTTTTTCCGTATAAGTTATTATATCTAGGTAATTGCAGTTTTAGATTATCAGTTCTGCGTGTGGAGTATAATAACTTATCTACCTTTTAAAAATTTTCAGTAAAGTAATTTTCAGTTAGTAATGTTAGTTCAACTTTGTCGTGATCGTATGTGTTTCTTTAATACAAAATAGGAGTTCGGATACAGTCATAGATTCCCATGGATCACGAATTAAAATCTGCCCTGGTAAAACATCAATACCAGAATTAACCGTCATATCCCCAGTTGCGATTATTGCATCATTAGAACAATTGATGCATAGCAGATCTCCCGAATCACTAATTCCGTAACGTGGATTCGATTGAAGTATCAAAGAAGGTCCATCTCTTTCAAAGAACTCGTTTTCTTCATTTTCACTATCGGGATTCTTTTCTTCGCTATCATCATGTGGCTCGAACATCTTTGCCATATGTGTTCGGTTGGTAAATCTAATTATTTTCAAGTCCACAGCGGCATCATCATCAAGCCGTGGTAGTTTCTCTTCTTGACCTTCATCTTCTACCAAACAGTCTTGATTATCTTCACAAACGCCATCAGATTTATTATTATTATCATGAATGATTCTATTAGCATTTTCCATAGATTGCTGAACATTACTATTAGCGTTTTCTATAGATTGCTGAACATTATTACTATTATCAAGTGGGAGAGCAAAGTCTTCCGCTGGGCAGATGCGTTTCCTCACTTGTTGATGGTGTATTATCCAACTCTTCTGTAGTAACAACAACTGGTTTTGACTCCATCAATAAAGTTTTTATCCTTTCCACTTCAGAGCTAAGGTCTTGTTTACTGTAACAACACAATAATTGAACGACAAATTCTTCTCCATCAAATTCAAACTGCGCAATAATCAATTTATCGTTATCTGAATAGCTCTTTGGGCAATTGTATTTTAACAGATAATAATAACATAACTTCAACTGAATATCAATATTCAGTGTTGTGATGCCTGTCGCTACGCGTCTACGCGCGTGTAGCTCAATCACTTGAGCTCGTATCTGCTTAAAGTAGATAGCGAAATCCACGATAGGATCAGCCATAGCTGGTAAGATTAGTTAAAACCACCAGATTTAAAGAAAACTGGTGATTTAACCGGGACTGGAATCAGCACCCCTGAAAAATCGACACTTATAAAACACTGTTAAAACTTTCAATTGACCGTGCATATGCGACAGCTGGCCCCTCCACCAAAATTCTACGTTTATTATGACATTTAAGCCATCTATATCCCATGTCTTTTAACAATTTTCTTAAACTCGTCACTCCCCATGGAAACTCGATTTTTTATCGAATAGCTGCGAGGAGTTTAATGCAGGTCGGAACAATTTTGTTTAGTTAAATTAAATTCTTCAATAATTCTGTGTATAACATCTCGATCAAAATCATCGACGTTTAAATTTGTCTCCTTGTTACACTGTCTTTTCTTTTTAGAAGGCGAACAAAGAGGCCCTTTTTTTGGCTTCATTTTGAATTGCAGACAATGTTCTCTTCGAAAGTCCAGTGTAACGGCTTGCGCGATCGTAAGCATTATTTAATGTGAATGTTAAATTGTTGTTCTGACTTTCTTTAACACACATGTCTAGAACATTTTTCGCCATTTTCCGTGTTTGGCGATGAATAAAAACTAGTTTTTTTTTGTAACAGTACTTGACGTACACGGATCAGACATCATTAAAAACAAAAATAACACGCGGCTGCAACTTTATATTAACACGATAACACAGTAAGCGTATGATAGTTGTCAAGGACAGCACAGCACTACACTGCTGGTGCGCGAGACGCGGCGTGCGGACGGCGCGGGGAGATGCTCTCACTCTTCACCTCAGGCCCCGACGGCATTCAACTCGCGCGCTATCTGTACATGCACTTCTTCCGGTATGTAATAGAGACCCATCGAGTTCCGCAATACACACCGGCATGTGCTGTTGAAAAATGAACACGGTTTTATTGTGCTGCAAACATTATATATATATATATATATATATATATATATATATATATATATATATATATATATATATATATATATAAAGACTAGCTGAAACATTAAATGACTTATGTTATATAAATATTACTTACAAGTACATGCACTTCCGCAGGCACCTCTTCCGTTGGGCCGGCTCTCTCATTATCCGCATGCATATTCTGTTGAAAAATGAACACGGTTTTATTGTGCTGCAAACATTTATGTAAAGGGTGTTTGGGGGATGGTCCGACAAACTGAAATGGGAGATAGATGGGTTCATTAGAAGTATATTTTCTATGTAATTTTTTTTTCTATCTCTTACCATTTTTTAAATAAATTTTTAAAAATTATTTCTTATTTTCCCAATTTTCTAGTATTTTGGTTCAATAACTTCTAGTATTCTACCATTTTTTTATTTTTCTTAAGTATAATGATTTGTTTATAATAAAAAAAAAAGATTTAACGCCCAAAAAGCATAAGAAAAAATACTTACGATACATTGAAAGTGTACAAACGAGAAAAATAATTGTAAACCTCTAAGTTTCCAGCCCCTTAAAAATAAATAAAATTGTTGAGTAATTTCAAATGGCCTCAAAAACTTCCCTGATTTACCCTCTTTCCATCGGTATATCACATGCCAAATAAAACTTTAGATTATCTAACAAAATCATTGATAATTGAATGTGAGGGCTACTGCTACAGCTACCAGCTCATACGAGCGCCTATTATTGTATTTACATAAACATAAACACTCACGCCTGTCACCCAGAGGGGTAGGCAGAGACTACAGACTTCCATTTGGCACGATCCTGACACACCTCTCTTGCCTCCTTCACATCCATACACCTACGCATACATGCTCGTCGGTTAAGGGTACTCCTTATTGTATTTAATACAAAAAAATTTATGGTTGTTTCTACACTACACTAACCAGGGTCTTGCTGAATAATAATAAAAAATAAGAACTAGTAATTTTTTACTAAATTTACAAGTTTTGTTCAAAATGTCCTCCTACATTGTGCAGACACGCTCCGATATCTTCGACGTATTTCAGTCGTGGTAGTTTTTAATCGCATTTCTTCTTTCATAATATGAAAAGCAGCATTTATTTTTCCAATCAACTCTTCTTTTGTTTGTATTTCATTTTCGTATACAACTTTCTTTGCTCGGCCCCAGACATAGAAATCCAGTGGAGTCAGATCTGGGGATCTCGCAGGCCATTCGATAGGTCCGAGTCTCCCTATCCACGTGTTCGGAAATACCGCATCTAAATATTCCCTTACGGTTCTGCGATAGTGGGCAGGGCAGCCATCGTTTTGAAATATTATTCTTGTATCCTCATTCATTATTGGTACCTCGCTCATTAGTTCTGGGAGATCATTTTGTAAAAAATGTAAATAATTATCTCCGTTTAAATTATCAGGTAGATAATGAGGACCGATTAAATATCTTCCAATCACACCTGCCCGCACGTTAACACTAAACCGTGTTGAATGCGATATTTATCTCGTTTTACGTGGATTTTCATCTTTATCTGACCAATAATGTAAATTATGTTGATTGAAAATGCCTTCTCGTTTAAACTTTGACTCGTCGGTCCATAAAATGCTCTTCAAAAATTGATTATCGTCGACATCTTTGTGCAGTATAAAGCTGCGAAATTCTATACGTCGTGCAAAATCTCCTTTCACGATACCTAGCACAAAAAATAGTATAAGTATAATAAGTAAGTAGTATACTTTACTCACTTTAAAATGTACGAAATAATTAGTAATGGATAGGATAAACAGTAATTTTATAAAAAGAAGAAATAATAAGTACCTTTCACTGGGGTGAGGTTAAATGGGTGCTTGCAATCGTTGCGGAGAACCGACCACACTTTCCATACAGAAAAGCCGAGTTCAGTCGCTACTTTTCTAATGCTTATAGTGGGATCATCGTCAAAAGCCGCCAAGATACGCTCATCCACAGCAACATCAAGTGGTCTTCCACGTACTCCTGGTTCCCTGTGTTGCAATTTGCCAGTTTCACGTAGCCTTCTATAAGTATTTGCAAACGTATCATGACTAGGCAACCTTCTCGTGGGATACAGCTCTCCATAAAGTCTACGTGCTCTGTTGCCGTTATTCAGGGCTCCGCCATAAACCAAAAGCATATTAGCGTATTCTTGGTTAGTAAAATAAGTGCGTTGAGCCATAATCACTGCAGTGTTTTGAATTAAGTTTGAACACTACCGCCCGAAAACAGAAACAAATAACAAACAAACAAAACTTAACAATCAACGAAACAAAAACTAAACTCAACGAAACTGTTCAACAATTAATGTCGAAAAAAAACTCGCTAGTAGCTTCAGAGATAGTCAAATCACGACTAAATTTAATTACAACAGAAGCAGGTAGCTGATCCGCGCGTGGTAACTTCGCCTGTACCACCAGAAAGAGACAACATCTACCTGGCTCGCACACGCAGAAATGAAACCATAAAAAATATTGACACAGGTAAAAACCAGCTTAGGGTGCCCTGGCAATTTTTACGAAACTTGTAATTTTTTAATTACCCCGTCCTCACATTTGATTATCAACAATTTTGTTGATAATCTAAAGTTTAATGTAACATGTGATATACCGATAGAAAGAGGATGAAATAGAAAATTTTTGATGGCCATTTGAAATTACTCAACATTTTTTTTTAAGTGGCTGTAAACTTAAAAGCTTACAATTTTTTTCTTGTTTGTTCACTTTTAATGTGTCATAAGTATTTTTTCTTATGCCTTTTGGGCTTTGAATCTTTCTTTTAATTAAGAAAAATCATATTTCTTAGGAAAAATAAAAAAAATGGTATAAAACTAAATATAGTAGAAGTTATTGAACCAAAATACTAGGAAATTGGGATAATTACAAAAAAAATGTTAAAAATTCATTTAAAAAAATGGTAAGAGATAGAAAAAAAAAATACTAAGAAAATATGCTTCTAACGAACCCATCTATCTCCCATTTCAGTTTGTCGGACCACCCACCAAACACCCGGTATATATAAACACAAATAAATACTAGCTGAAACATTGTTTTGCCAAACACATTATTCCTAAGAAATGTTTTTTTAGCTCAATAGAAAATAGCTAACACTATGAGTGTGAAAATTTGAAGTTTTATATGTTTTTCAACGCTCAATCATAATAAAATAAAAATTAAAAAAATTAAAATAGAAACGTTAAATGACTGATGTTATATAACAATAATTTTATAGCCTGGCGATTATTTGTCCCCTGGTCACATATGGAGGCTACTACTATAACATATCCAGCCTTTTTGTGATTTGTGCACTACATTTCTTAATTGTTTTGCTAATTCGGGTCCTTTTGCTGCACCTGCAGAAAAATTATAGGCAACAACTTGTTTAACATTATGTATTAAACCTCGCAATATAAAAAGTTGTGCATGGTTTACAATCCGGGTATTCTTTGTTGACCAACAAACCCTGTTACGATATTTTACCTCTCATTGTAGGTTATAAATAAATAAATATAATAAATAAATTTATTCACAAGAAATATGGTACAAAGATGTTCTTATTATCTAATAATGTATCACATATTTCACCAATTTTGGTATGAAAACTTATTTACTAATCAACTTATTGTTAGAATATATAACATTTAAGTTAAATTAAACGTGCATCACTTTACAATTTTAATATTTATCCTCTAAAACACAATCAAATAAGAAACAGCGTTTAACAGTCAATAGAAACGTTCTTTTATTTTTAGCAGTTCATTTACCGAATATTTAAACCTTAAAATTACGTCTAAATCGATTATAATCTAGTTGCCTTATTTCATTTGGGATTTTATTAAACACCTGAATAGCCATCACATAGCAATTTTTTGAGTACAGGCTAGTTTTTAATGAAGGTAAAATAATTTTATCTGGGTATCTGGTACTATATGTTACTGTATCGTTTAACCTAGGAAAAAAAGTTTTTCTGTACACGAAACTTATGCATATCTTCTACGATATGGCTTAGAAATTCGTCATCAAAGAAGCACAAGAAATATTGCAATGGAGTTTCAAGATTAGTAATCGGTGGCTCTAGATCGGTTTGCTGACAAAACTCACGGTTTGTTGGATGGAAATCTGTTTTTTTCCAGATGATATTTCGCTCTTTTCTGACGACGGATGCAGCAGGAGTAGAAGCAGCGTCTTTTGGCACAGTAGACGCGGAAGATACAACTGTTGATTGACGTGTTCGCGAAGCAGTTGATCTAGAGTACTTGGGACATCAGGAATTGAACCACTAGGATTTGATATATGCTGCTACATATTACAGCCACAGGACCCTGATAATGGTGAAGCGGATTCATACCTATTCGATGAAACACATTCCTCTTCGTTATCCGTATCGCTAAACGTTTCACAAAGTTTGTTGACGGTAGATCGAATTACGGCAATGTCATCGTCACTTTCAGCGCCTGAGGAGTCTGTGGGTTCATCTTCACTGCCTAAAGTTATTGTCAAATAATTTTGGATTTGAGCGCTGGATAAGGTTTTCTTCGCCATTATCTAAAAAAAAACATCACACCATTTGTCAACATACCTAAAATTGAACCATCACTGCATTTTTTTTACGTGGTAGAGCCATGCTGCAGTTATATTAGTAGTATAGTTGTAGCACGAATGGGTCGGCTCGACCGTGGAAGGACCACGCTCTCACAGAATACCAGCGTGAAATAGTAGCTTGATGCTGCTGTATTTCGTATGGTGAGTGTAGAGAACCGGAGACCCTTTTTACTGGAAACGAGGCATTCCATCTTAGTCCTCACGGGTGACAACGCATCTGCATTTTGATTCGTAATCGAGGATAGATGTAGATGTCTATGGGCCACAGTAACCACTTACCATCAGGTGGACTGTGCGCTCGTTTGTCACCCTATCCTATAAAAAAAAATAAAGTGACACATTGGGAACGTACAGAAATTGTGAAAATTTAGTATCAAAACACGACCAAATCAGAAAAATACACTTACATTTGTTTAGTTCACAGATATTTTGACATAAAAGTGCATACGTACGGCGCCTGACAAACGTTCAAAATTTTCAATTGAATGACTGACTGAGAGAGATAGTGCTGCCATCTAGTTCCAACGAATGCATTAAATGGGTGCCAATGATTGTTGTCAATTTATTTGCGTAATCATAGATGTCGCTACTTGGTTAAAATCAGAAGAAATATCAATTTTATTGGTTGACCTACTTATGGGACTGGATGCAGTGTAGGGTTAAAGAATATTCAGTTGTTCTGAATGTAAAATAACTTTGGTCCATTTCTGAATTGACGAACATCTGATTTTACTAGTATTACAGCTCATTCCAATACTAATATTATATTCCCCTATCTAGAATATGGTGAAGTTATATTATTTGCCCTAAGAACATATCAAATTCAACAGGAAAAGTCCTATTATAGTGAACATGTCAGGTTTCATGGAGGGTATTGAATAATAAGCAGAGAAATAAGCAGAGAAAACATTAATGTAACAGAGTATCGTTTGAGAGGAAGTGGAAATAATTCACTTATAAGAGGCAAAATCAAATCCAGACACATTTCGAGAAAAGTATATTATGTTTATATATTAATTGAAAATAATTTGTCTGGAAGGGAAGCTATAATAGAGTATTGCTGCAATTGTTTAGTTGGTAGAAGAACAGTTGGGTGCTGTGCACATGTTATGACGCTTGTGTGGTATCTTGGGTGGGCCAGGCATCAGCCGACAATACCAGCACCTGCAGCATTCCTTGATGCTGTATTTGTAAGAGAGGATGTTTAATAAAAAGTAATTTACTCTTTTTTTATAGAAATAAGGTAACGAACGAGCACACAATCCACCTGATGGTAAGTGGATGCTGTGGCCCATAGACATCTACATTTATCTTCAATTGAAAATCAAAATGTTGATGTGTTAAAAGCCCTGAGGACTGAGATAGAATGCCTTGTTACCATTAAAAAGGGTCTCCGGTTCTCTATACTCACCATTCGAAACACAGCAGCATTAAGCTGCTATTTTAGTTTGGTTTCTATCATGGGCATAGCATCGAGATGAGGTTGATCCACCTGCATCTTTTTTATATGATATATTACCATCAAGTGATGATATTGAAAATACAGAATGATGATTATAACCTTAATGCGTATTAATATTGTTATATTAATGATGATTTTTGCCATAGTTGCTACACTTGTGGCGACCAAAGTTTTTTGTGGTATTCTATAGGAAGATGCCGCTGCCCATCTCCTGATATATTTATTTTACTCTGTCGACTTTTACAACACCAAATGGGACGGGGTGGCAATTCACGAAAGGCCTGTGTAATATTTTACATTATATATTATGTTATGTGTGTAATTTATAAATAAACGCCGAGCAAAGTTGAATTTAATGCTCTGGCACCCTGTTTATCTCTTTTAATTGACAATCTCCTTCTGATTTATAATAATATAAATGGGTAAGTATCTCAAGACATTATATTTTAATGATGTTTGGAATTTATACTTGCTAATAAATGAATAATAAACAAAGGGCCCGCACTGCACCTATCTGCTGTGTTATTTTTAAGAAAGGACTTATAAAGTGCCAAAGATTTTTATAATAATAAATGCAGTGATATTATTATACATGATGTTTGGGATTTATAGGACAGATGTAGGGTGCGCTTTGAGAGATACCTTATTTATTGGGTGATAAATAGTTGTTGTACGGTTCCACTACATATTTTTATTTAGTAAACACTGCAACATGCTTTAAGTCTCGTGTATGAAGTTATATTATTTGCCCTAGGAACATATGGATTCAACAGGCAAGGTCCTATTATAGTGAACATGTCAGGTTTCACAGAGAGTATAGAATCGAAGGACAGTTGGGTGATGTGCACATGTTATGAAGCTTGTGTGGTACCTTGGGTGGGCTAGGCATCAGCCGACAATATTGCCAGTGCCAACATCACTCCTTAATGTTGTAGATATACGAGAGGATGATGAATAAGAAGTAATTTTGTCTAGGCTACTTGTTTCATTAAAGTACTCCTAAATTCTAACATTACACTTCATTTATTCCTGTAACCTACCATTACTCGATTTTTCAATGCATATGCAACTTTAGTA